TACATTTTCAGGCAGTCTTAGAAGAGCTGCAAGGCTAATTTAACACTTTTGGTTTTTTACGTTTCGGTTGGCCAGGTCTGAAGTTATTTATACTCATATTGCACTCAGCTTTCTCTCAGCAATACCTCAATAACATTGGAGATGGTTGCCTAAGGAAGGAACCAGGTAAAAATGCCGGAATAATTGCACAGAAAATAATTAAACACCATGCTGCAGCTTCACACTAAGAAGTCACACTTCACTAGCTGAATACACAGCATCATTTGGGAATTGTATTTTTATTTATTGTGAGCTTCATTATGTTTGAGGAAGATATGCTCTCAGGGGAATAAGTGGGTTGTAGTGGATTTATGGTACAAATACAAAGACCAGTAAAGGAAAGATGTACTGCGGATCTTGTAAGACTTGTGTTTGTTTTAAAGAAAACCTAAGATCAGATGCAATGTGGAATTGACGTTGGAGGGGATGAAAAGATTATCATTTCCTTGTCTTGTGAGAACACCAAGTCTCAGATGAACCTTACCAGTCTTCAGGAGTGGTTAGAGCAGATTACCACAGAGTAGAATAGAGTCATTTCTGGCATTACAGTTCTGGCAGCCTGAATTTTAAGACTTATTTTGTTAAAAAAAGAAGTCTTTATTTGGAATAACTAAATGTATTTTTATTGCTCAGCATAAGCCTTTGAAAAACAATAATATTAGCAGTAAGAAGAAGAAAGAAGTGAACTTTGGTAAAGCTGCATTGAGAACAAGTTGTCGTGGAGAGACAGGAAAGTGTTTCTTCATGAGCCTGCCAATACAAAAGCTCCCCAGGAGAAAGCTTTAAATAATCCAACAGAGTACATGTATGGGAAAGGTTTGTGTGGTCAGATTGTGTCGTCTCTATTGGCAGAACTGCATGCAGTGGTTTCTCAGATAAAGTATCTCAGCAGACAACCGTGTATTTGAGAACAAAATGGTATTTGCTTCTTGCATTTATATAATAGTTTGCCCTCTTCAAATGTATTGCAGTAACTATGCTCATGTACAGGGAAAAAACATGGACGTGCTCCAAGCAGGTATATTTGATGTGGTTGGAAGTATGAGTTTTTTATAAGCACAGTTTGTTTGATTTTTTTTTTTCCCCAAACACCCAGCACTAATTAGGCAGGAACAAATGATTCACTTATGGATTTCTTCTCCCCAAAGGTGAATGATCAGCTAAAAACCTCCTTTGTAAGTTGCTCCAAGTTCCCAAACCAGGGAGAAATGGAGAAGTGAAGAATTTTCTCTAAGCATTAAGTTTTTTGCAAATGTTTGCAGGACAGATTGCAAGCCAGCCCTTTCTTTTGAAGGTCAGAAAGTGTGGCATGGACAACTGCGTAATGTGAAGATCTCTACATAGTGCTAATTGCACACAACCTAAAACTTCAGATTCCTTGGTTGAAAAGTATTAGTTCTGTGAAATGTAGGTTTTGAAATATTACTTTACATGTAAGTTTTACTGTAATAGTTTCCCTCTTTCCAGTGAAAAAAAAAAAAAAAAAAAGAGTGAAAAGCAGGCACATCGCACCAGGCTAGCAAATGCCCAAGGGGTAAAGTGCTTTCTGAAGGGCATTTCACCTCCTGTTCAGAGCCAGGCAAAGCTAAGCCTTGGTTTCCAGTGTCTCCACTGAACGTCATATCAAGAGATTTTTCTACTTCAAAATTGTTCACTTCCCATTTCTATTGCCTTCTATGTGCTTGGTTGCTTATGCTCAATGCTGCTGATAGAAGAATACAGTCAAAGTCTGCTTTGAGAGTGAAGCTGTGAAGACTAACACCACGAACTACTCCATTGCTAGAACATATTCCCAAACCATACCAACCTTTTGTGAATACAACTAATTCAATAATTAATTAATGTAGAATGACCCAGAAACAAATATTATCAAGACAGCAGGTTGTCAGGAATCACCCAGACACTAAACAACCAAAAGAGCAGAGTGTCTTTGCTCTGTCACAGTATAAAGATGATCCCATTCTGTCTGTAGTAGATCATGTAATTTTTTGAGCGCAGTAAATTTAGGTTCCTTCATATTTGCTCAGAAGTCACTAGGTCTGACAGCAGCTTTTTCTTAAGGTTTTCCTCTGTTGTGGAGGAAAGTCTTCCAGTTTAGTCTGCTGTCCTGTTTCAGGATTTTTCTAATCCTGATGTCCTGTTTACACAAATTGATATTTACCTACGTTTGAGACATTTGTTCTGCTGTCAAAGATCTCTCACAAAGGCTTTCAATTTTAGCCTCTGTGTTTTAAAAGAAAATACGTTCTACATCTTCAGCTTAATGTCTGCATTCTGCATAAAGTTTCCACTGGTATAGTTCAATGCCTGATTTGCACCTCAACCACTCAGCTCAGTGATCAAAGCTGGCCGATGTTCACTCAGCTTCGCAGCTCAAACTCAGTCCTTTTACTGGTTTCTGCACACAGAAGTCCAATGGTCAATATTCATAAGTAAAACACAACCAGTTATTAATACAGTGTAATCCTTGATAGCCTTCCTCTAGTACTCTTTTCAAGGCCCTTTAAATCCACACTTGGGTCACGAAACATTTAAGAAAGTCACGAAAAATTTAAGAAAGTAAGTGCTCTTCATTCCCCTGTTGCTAGCAAGACACTCTCTCATTCATATGGGGGTTACACACCCATATATGCTATTTAACATTAAGAGCTTTTCAGTGATCGGCATCTTGGCAGAAGTGCAGAAAAGTGATTCATGTAGCTGTACTACTGTCCATGTTGCTCAATGAAATGCTAATCTTGAAGCTTGTCATCTCATCTGCTGGCAACAGTGAGTTCCCAGGAAATGCAAGAGGGAAAGAATAACTGCTCTGAAAAGAAGGGGAAAAAAATGAGGATCCTTTAGCAATGCTAGCTTCCTGCATTGCATGTTTTTTATTTCAGCCTTGATAATAAAGAAAAATATAACCTCAGTCAAAATGCTGATGAACAAGTGAAACACTCCAGCTACACAGGAAAACTTAAAAAACAAATAAAATCCCTAAGGCTCATTTTGGTTTTATAGCAGCATAGTCCCCACTCTCCACTCCTTGCTACCTGCATGCCCTGGAGACCTACTTGAAATCAATGGGATTCTGTATTCCTCACACCAAGTATGTGTCAGTGGAAGAGACGTGTGGATTCACAGGATAATTCAGATTAGAAGAGACCTCAGGAGGTCATCAGTTCAACCTCCTGCCTGAAACAGTGACTACGAGGCCTGACAAAGTTACTCGAGGCTTAAGCCAAATCCTTGGGCTGGATATTCTATGTCTTTTGAACTTCTTATTTGTTACAATTTTCTGAAGATTCTTCTCCTTACAGAAACTGATTATATAGAAACTGTATAAAGCTTCCAGAAATCAACATTAAAGCATCCTGGAAAATTAGAAGTTTTCTGTGAAATAGCAACCCAGGACATGAAGACGACTTTCCTTATTCCAGACTTTAGGGATCTGTGTGGCTGATTCTATTTATTTACTTGGTTTTATCATTAGGACAAAGAGTTAAAGCAGTTTTACAATATAGTGTAACATGCATAATTAACATTCTCATTTCAGTTTGCATGTTATTGTTGTCCATCCTAACTTGAGTGCCCATTACCAAAATACTGCTGCATATGCCATAAATTAGATCTCTAAGACATTAATTTTATTTCCCAAGACACATCAAACACCTACATTATGTTATTGCTTTATTTCCCTTTGAAACACGAACCAGCTGTCTGATCCAATATTTCAAACCCTTAAGTTCTTAACTAGAAGCCACTAAGGTACTGAATATAAATGACTTACTGAAAGGAACTTCTGGAATGAGCAACTGCTGAGCAGCATTTATTTCCTTTCTGTGTTAACAACATTTAGGTGTGCTCTCCTCCACTATGACACCTATTTAACAAGGTAAGATATGAACAAGTTTATGCAGATCAGAACAGAAGTGATACAGAACTAATTATCGAGTCCTTCTGCCTTAGGTCTATAGCAGTAGAAACCCTTGGGCTTACTGAAGAAGTTAACACTGACCTTCAACACACCTATTTCTTTTAAAGTTTTTCTTTGACACATCAGGTTATTAAGGAACTGGAATCACAGTGTAACTGAATAATTCTGAGATGAGATTGAATGCCTTCAGTACATACACATTCACATTCAAAATGTGAATAAATAAAGATTTAGGATTGCAAACACAAAAAAGCCATGAAAAAAACTTTACTGAAAGTCTCATCTTATAGCTGGACTAGCACAGGCACAACATGCCTGGGCAGCAGTGCTGATACACAGATTGTTTGGGCTGCATAGATGCAGATGCTAGACTGCAATCTTCCTCTGAAGTTTTCCTGTATTATGATGCCTACCAAAATAAGAAATATTACTTAAGACTTGGACTGCTTGTACGCTGAGACTCAATACTGACTTCTTATTATGCATACGTTCCCTAGATGCTAAAATTACACACAGTATGGAGATGGTAAATGCAGCCTGTCTGTGTGCCTGTAGTAACCATAGCAGATTCTATTAACTTACTCAGCATGATGAAGCATTTGTTTTTGCTTCTCCAGTACAGGTAAGGCATATTGACTGCAATGCCTTCAGCAGTTCAGACTTTCAAATTAAGAAAACCATAACCATTGCATTGGGCAGAGGGGCATCTTTAAGAAGCATCAAGAGAACCTGGACTGTTTTTCTTCCAGATGTGGTAGCTCAGTTTTTTTTCTGCTCAGAGCAATAATGCTTTGAGCCTTACACACAGAATTATACATTATGAAAAGCAGTAATTAAAAACAGGAGAAAGAAGCTGTGGAAAGCAACACCAGTAAAGGAAGACAGCAGGACAGGTGCAACTTTGAACCAGTCAGTGCTGAGATATTTCTGAGTAGAAAACAACGATTAGGTGAGGCATTCTATATCAGAATTTATTACTCTAAGATTTATTAACATTTTTTGCAGATTGAAGTATTTGAAATAAATCATAGAACAGCTTAGGTTGAAAAGGACTTTAAAGATCACCTAGTTCCACACCCCCTACAAATCACTGGGTACAAGTGTATGCCTGAAAGTACAGGTATCTTCTCCATCTTCATCCATTTTCAGAAATAGATGTCACCTCAATCAAAGGATTGAGGATAAAGCATTCAAGCACACTCCAATGAACAGCTGCACTGAGCTTTTTTGTTACCGCACCATGGAAACGCTGACAATTTATACACAGCAGATCCAGCATCAAGGTCTGACAGCTCCAATGGCCTCCCATGTTCACCACTTGATCCCAGACAAAGTGTGAATGAGAAAGGCAATAGCTGTGTGTTATGGATGATGACAAATTGCACTAGAGAAAAAAAGCACATGAATAAAGTGGCAAATTACATATGGTTTCACACAGACTGATCAGAAGGCACAGTGTATACAATACTCTGAAACCACCACCTGTTGAGCATGAAACTTTTGACACTGCTGAGACACTTGGAAGCTAAATATTTAACACTGAAAGAAAACTCTAAGGAGTTTTCATCCAAGAAAACTTGAAGCATTGGAGAGAAAAATAGGTCTGGTTACTTGAACTAGCAATATGAAGGCCCTTCAGCCTTCTCATTTGATATCTCTCTGAATCATACAGCCTTACAGAAAGAAGACAGTGCTGCTAGAGGTCTTCTTTGCTCAATAGGCAACTTCAGAATGCAGAGAACAGTTGCAGCATGTTATCCAACCGTGCCATCTGGCACTGATTAACGCATCATCAGTGACTGCTTTCACACTCCCACCTTTGAAACTTTTTATCACGTTACAGTCAATGATAGGTCTTTGGGAAAATAATTTAAAATTAGGTGCAAATAAAATGAAAAATAATCCACAGAACAGAAGATCAAAGACCATTAAAGTTAATGAGCAATACAAACTGCTGCTTCCTTATCTTTCTTCTCTAGGAATGAATAGTAGTCGTCCAGGCCCAAATCTTTAGTAATTATGTCCACATAGGAGGGCAGCATTGATTTTTTCTAAAGCACACAGCATCACTTACGAGAGAAGGCTCAAAAACCAGTGGCAGCTTAAGAATAACATTCATTTCATTTGCAGAAAGAAGAATTTGCAGAACCACAAACTTTGCAAGTAACTAGCTTCTACATTAATTTTATAATATGAAATGACAGCTATTTATAATCTGTATTCCCTTGTTGTTACTAGTAATAAATATGGCCTCACAATCCATTAAAGCTAATGAATGTCTTCAGTTCTTTAAGTATGCTATTATAAATAAATAGTAGTGGTTTTAACACAAGTTTACATAAGGCAGGCTTGGATCTACTGACATCTGTATACACCAACAGTGTAAAGTAAAAAATAAAAATAAAAATCAGACAGCTTTTATTTCCTCATGTATGAAGCGTGGTTCTCTTCACGCAGCAGATGAACAGTTGCCAAGGTTTGGTTAGGAATGCTATTGAACCACAACAAATGGCACTCCTCACAGGAAAAATAAGCCTATTTTCCACATGCAATAAACTTATTCAGCTATGACCTTCTGAAAAGAAGAGAGGATTCCTATTAATGGCTAAGAGGAGATTAAATACAATTGGACAGACTGTAACACAGGGTTGGCAGCTTTGTTGCATAAAGAATTTAGCATAAAAACTCCTTGCAATAAGACAGATCTGCTATCAACTTTGAAGGTTGCTCTTAAACATAACTATGGTATCGAGAAAGTAGCAGTCCATTTTGATTACCTTATCTGCAAGATAGAACATTACTTTAAAAAACAACACAAACACAAGACATAAAACAGAATGCAAGCTAATTTCCAGTGATATAACGTTTTGCAAACAAGTTATGTCATGGGCTTGCACAGTAACAACAAAAGCAAATCTATGATGAAAGCTGAAACTAAGGAATTTGATTAATTATAAACTGAATATATTTTAAAACTATTTAACTTGCTCTTCAAATCTTTTGTATGGTAACAGAAAAGGTTTGTTACACATTTTAACTGCAGTGTCTCATACACAAATCACCATTTGGGGAAAAAAAAACAGCATGAAAACAGAGCTACTGCTATAAGAGAATTCAGAAGCAAATTCAACATTGATTGTTAGTGCTACTCATAAACCTTAATTTACTCTTTCCAAGCACACAGTAGTAAAATCCCTTTGATGATACAACAGCAAAGATATTTTTGAATAAAGAAATGGAAGGGGAAAAAAAGGACAAGTTTATTTAATTTTGTTGTGTTTTGTCATCAGCTGCACATTAAATTCTACTCCATCAAAATGAAAGTAACTGAAATGTCTTCAACCAAATGACAGCACCTAGTAGCTGAGCTATGTTGTTCAGTCATAACAAGGAGTGTCTGATAGAACTTGCTGGGCATTTTTCAAGGCAAACACCTCAGGGAAAAAAGTTAGATATTTTCCCAGATACTCCCCACTCCCTTCCCTCTCCCCTTTATTCCAGCTTTAGTATAACATTTTCTGTTTATATTTATGTGCATCTTTGCTTCTTAAAATCACCCTCAAGAAAGCAGACCTATGGCTAGAAGATAGTAACCAGATAAATTAGTCATAGAAATTGGCAGCAGTGAAATATATGTACACAGAAGAAAGAACCCAACAGAGGATACGTTAAAAAGGTCTTTAATAGATATAATGGCTGCATCAAAAAGAAGAGAGCGTTTAAGCTTATATTTTTATACAGACAAGCAAGTATAAGCTTCACCTAAGTAGTAAGTAACTCTCTGGAAATAAAGTAACTAAACAATGAATTACAAAAAGCTTATAATAGAAAGAACCAGAAATCCTCAACCATTACTTTGTTACTCTGCTCCCAGTCATTAACATGGCCAGTTACATACTGCAGCCATTACCATACCTATAAATTGTTTACCTAGACAGTGTCTTATAGCAATTCTGTATTTAAAATGTAATAAAATTGGACTGGAATTACTGTATGTTTTATATGGGGATTCTACAGTAATGGCAGAAGTAACAGTAACATCTGCTTAAAAAGTCATGATAATTTAGAGCAAATCTTCTTTAAGAGATTAATTATATACAATTTTAATGTTCAAGTAAAGCTCACTGATTCTATGCATACTTCCCTAAAGAACACAGCAGCTCTTTCATTACAAGATACCACTGAGAGAGAATAAAGACATCTGACAGAAGTGTGAGTTCACACCATGTTCTGTAACAAACAAGAAACCTTAGATCTTGGCTGCAGCTTAAGTAGAGCATTTTCTACAAAAATAACAAACCTACTTTGAGTCCCAGTCTTGCAACTCATACAGTGATATGTAAGCTTTCCATTTTTACTACAAAGGACACTGCATGTGTTGATCAACAATAACCTTTTATGGTAGCACTCTCATATGCAGTCTTGTCTCTCTATAACCAAAATAAAGGAATTTAATCCCTTTCTCTGAATTTCTATAAATTCTCACCCCCAAATTACAGCTTCTTCATTACCAAAAAAAAATAGCACATTTCTATTCAAAACTGCTTACCTTGTCTTTGCTTAGTTTTCAGTAAGGTCTCTTAACTCCAGCACTTGAGATTTCTTTCTTTCCTGTTTGACTGGAATAACATTGGGCACGTTCTTTTGGTATGCTTGAAATTTCTTTTATATTGCTGAAGGACAAAAAGTGAGGCAAACAGTATTTTTCTTTAGAATCAGCCCAACACACTTTTCTTTCACACCTACTTCAGAACTGAGATATACTATGGTTTTCTACACTTTTAGCTAAAGATAAACTGCATGATACTAGATGATTACAGTTCTATGATGGAGGAAAAAAAGATAGTATGAGCCCCAAAAAGAAGGGATTCCTACCTCCAACAGAGTAATAATAGAAAAATCAAGAGGAAGAGAGATTCATATTTATATTTGTTACAACTAGCCATTCTTTCCCCCAGCCAGTTCAGCTAGAACTGAGTGTATACATAAAACAACACACGCATTCTACTATACAAAGAACTCAAAACAGAAGCCTACAATCATTTCAGGTTGTATTTTCTTATTAGCTGGTATTAAAGTTCAATGTCTTTAAATGCACTGAATAAAAAAACACAACATACGCTACGACTAGCACCAAGTTTCCTTTCTGACTATGATGACGATGTATATTAGAATAAAAAATAAAAATGGGGTAGTTTACTTACACACACTTTAAAAAAAAATCTATTACAGATATTTTTATTACAGTGCAAATGTACCATCATGTGCTTTCTTAAATTAAGATCTCTATATGTAGTCTGCTAATGTTCCTACATTTTTCCTTGAGTACTTTACAATTTCAAAGTAATCATTGTGCTGTACTCCTGTTCTTTGAGAAGGCTAACTACATGTGAACAAATAACCTAGAACATCATATGCTGTAATAAACAGTGAGATGGTGCTAGAGCCCTTAGGTTTCACTTTACCCTCTTTCAAAAACAGACACACATTTGCTCTTACCCATTTCTCTACATTATTTTCACATCACCAAATTAACACACACTAGCGTTTATAGTCTTGGAGTTAGCATATCCCCTCCTGATCTTAATAATTCAGTGGAAACATTATCAGCACCTGGTGCCATATTGTTCCTGGGTGTTCTGATTGCCTCTTGATTCTTCCACAAAAAGCTCAGCTGACTGGAAATTTGCTGTTTGTTCGCCTTTATCCATTTCAACATTAAAGAGCTCATTAGAATATTCCCTCCATCTTTCTGTAATTGCATTCTTTGTAACTAAGATTTCCATGTTTGTCCTTTATCTGACTCATGCACAGATCACACGCTCATCTCAAATGCTGATATCCTGGTAAAATATTCTGAAGTTCACTTATTACAAGATCACTTCAACTGCTCAGAGCCATGCTGTATTATCTTTATGCTGAGACATTTGCATTACCAGACGTACGGGAGTAATGAAAATATCACCACATATCAGTATTATTTTCATACACTCTCTCATAAACAGTCTATTGTTTGTCTTTTAATTTCTGATGTTTTTTCTCACTCTTTTTTACTGCAAGTTTTCCGAAGGGCACATTGTGAGGTGACATTCAAGCCTGTTCCCATGCATCTCCTTGGTATTTATATTTTCAAAGAGGAACATAATAACAACTACTTTCTTCTTAAAAACAACTCAGTCATTATTTTTAAGAGACAGCAAGATACATCTGAAGCACCAGCCTTTAATAGATTTCCTCACTGAGGGCTGTAAAGCCATCAGATAGTTACCAAAACTTCCATTATTCATCATGAAGTTTGTTCCTGGGGTACAAATTTGTAAACTTCAGGAATTTCACTTTTTAACCATCTTTTATTGGACGTGGAATTGCAGGTGCATTACATCACAATTACCTAGAAGACGTATTATGAAGTTTACTTCAGCATTGCAGTTCAGTGTGACAGATATGGTGGAATCCCAACGGATTCTGTTTTCAATTGCATGGCCATGATTGAAACAAATAACTGTCCAAATAAAGTTTTAATTTCTTCAATACACATACATGGTATCAGGTATTTCTAGATTCTGACACAAGCTGCTCATTTGCTTCTCAGTGTCCACACACGGCTTTTCTTGGCCTGCTTTATGTCCTCCCGCAGTGATGTCACTACTCTTTGTACAGGATTAAGAAGAAAAAAAAAAAAAAAAGAAAAAAAGAAAAAGGAAGAAAGAAAGAAACGTGTATCCAGAATTGTTGTTAAGAAAGACTATGGATTGTGGACTAACCCCATTTCAGGCTGGGAAACACGATGCGCTTAATTACAACGTTTATTACAACACAGACAAATCGTTTCTTCACAGTGAATTCTTGAAGAGCTCTGTTTTACTGAGGTGAAGAAAGTCATCACGCTGAGGTAAACACTGCTGAAAATTCTGTCCCGGACTACGTGTTTTTATCAGAATTGTAGTTTATCAATCGTTGGAAAAAATCTTCAGCGCAGCCATCCACCTCCACTCCGGTTCCGGGGTTGCTGTGCCCCGACTGCGAGCAAACGCAACGGCTACAACCCCCCACAGCCGCACGCCCTGTGGCCGCGGGCCCCACCGCGCCGCTCATCCCGCTCAGCTCCCGCCCGCGGGTCCGCGCCTGCTCCCTCAGCACAGCGCGCCGCCCCGCAAGACCGCCTCAGCGCTTTGCCTGACGCACACGCGAAAGGCGCCTCAGCAGGCCCGAGCCCCCCCACTCTGCACTTTCGCCACGCCCTTGACGTCAGAATCCTCTCCAGACAACCGACCGTTCTGCCTCACACCGCCTCGAACTACCCGCACCGCGGCCGTTGGCAGCACGGAGTCCGTCCGCATTGCACGCTCGCTTAATTTCTCGCTCGAGTCCCAGAAGTTTGAGGCGAATCTATCGAGTGCCGGAAACCGGGCAGCTCTCTGTCCGACTCAGCGGAAGCGGAAGGCTCGCCATTTTGTTTCGGGTGATGGCGACTGTGCTGCCCTGGAGCTGTGGAGTTTAGCGCGGGCCCGGCCTCCTGGGGGACTCGCAGCTCGGACAGTCATTGGTACTGCGAGTTTCCTCCTCCTCGTCGCGCCCTCCGCCGATATACGGAGGGGTCGGGGGCTCTCGACGGATCGCAGAAGAGGCAGGCCCGCCGCCCCTCATGTTGTTGTCAGGCGGGGGAGCGGCTCCCGGGCCCCCCGGAGGAGGTGGAGGAGGAGGAGGTGGAGGTGGGAATAGCCGTGTGGAGCTGCTGGTGTTCGGCTATGCCTGCAAGCTGTTTCGAGATGATGAGAAGGCTCAGTACCAGGAGCAGGGGCGACACCTTATTCCTTGGATGGGAGACCCCAAGATCATGATCGATAGGTCGGTGTAACACAACCCCTAGACTGTGCTGCGAGATCTCCTGTTATAGCCTCTTTCTGTGCCTCCCCTTGTGCTGTGGGCAAGTGAGGGCGGGGGATGAGCGGAGGGCTCGCTGCCAGATGTGTGGGGATCTTCATTGGCAGCGTTGGAGGGCCGCGCCTCTTGCTAGGCTGCTTCCATTGCTGTGTGTGGAATGCTGCTGTCCCCGGCAATGGGAACTTGGGGTTCCCCTCTCTGGCAGTGTTGGGAAGTTCCCATCTTTTTGACACTATTGTGCGGGGTCTTCCTCCTCCACTTGCTTGGTCTGAGTTTGCAGAGTGGAATGGGGGAATGATCTGTTTTCCGTGCAAAGCACAGACATCTTTTCTCACTCGAAAACCAAGAGAGCATGGAAGCTTTTATTAGGAGCGTTACGCATTCTCCTAGCAAGCAGGGTGCAGTGTGGGAAGTGAAAAGATGTCTACCCACTTTGCAGAAAATGAGATTTATTTCTGTGTAATCTTGACTACAAGCTGTTGATGGAGTACCCAAGGAGCAATTCCTCGTCTGATTGCATTTTCCTTGTGCCATGTATGAATTATGTATCAACCAGAATGGCCCTGGTTTTGGGCGCTTGCTTTTCAAATTTTATGTTATAGGTGGCTTTTTAGGTTGTTGAGGAGTAGGTACCAGAGAGTACCATGGCTAGAGAGTGTATCAGAATCTGGTGGTTTGAGTTTTATTCTGGTCTCTTAGCAATATCAGCGGTGTAGAGTAGGATTTAGAAACAGTTTATTCAGATGAATTTTCTAAGTATTTACCTGGAGAAAGAAAATTAGAAGTCAAGTTGGGTATACATGAGTGGAGCTCTAAAAGTACAGTTTAGTACAATTTAAGAAGAGTTATGGCTGACCCTGACCACCTCACTGGGAAAGATGGCAGGATTTTGGCTTGAAAAGGATCACATGGCATACTATTCATATTTGTTCCCTCAATTTCATCGTTGATTTAATGCTAAGCATGATTTTTCTTGTTTCAATTTAACACAACTGTAATTGTCTTGAAAAAGAATCCACAAGAGTGGAGAAAAAAGAAATAACCTTGTGCAATGTTGGATTCTTATGGTTGAAGTTTATTTGTTAAATTTGAGTAAATATGAGTATGTGAAAAAACAACTGTATATTGATATTATGTTGCACTTTTTGTTTACATGAGAAGTGTTATAATACACACTTCTGATGGCAGCTCAGTTCTGTGATTGATCTTATTAGTAGGTAAAGGCCATTTTGTGGTTATATACAGCAGTAACCCAGTTTGTGGTAGTCACAGAAATTGTTGGGAGCAAAATAAGTATGTGCATGTACGTACATACATATAATACCCCAAAAAATCAAATAACATACATGCAAAAGTTAAGGAAGCTTGCATTTACTAATCCTATAGACTCCTTTAGAAGCTTAGATTCTTTTTATCTCCAGCAGCAGGAAGTCTTCATTTTCACCATTTTGAGAAAAGCACGTTGCTGTGAGAAGACATGGGTTGAAGGTTCTCTAACAGAGCTTGATTAACCAGACCTACATGTTTCATTAACTTTTTGCTATTAGAATATTTACTTTCTTTGTTTTTGGTCTAGCAAGTTGGCACAAGTCAAGAGTTGTGTGTGGGAAGACACCTCAGCGGAGTGGACTTTACTGACACTTTTCAATCAGTTTCTTTTATGATGCACACACATTTTCCCAATGCAATGCTTTTCTTGCAAATAAAATTATTTCTGCGTAGTAGAAAGGAAGTGTACATCATTGATCTTTGCCGTTTTTACGGTGAACCTCCTTAAATTGCATGTATATGTTACTGTTCCTATGTATGTGTGTCTCTCTATCACATAACCCAGAACTTATTTCCTCAGCCAAATGGCTAGGGGCCGAGCCTAGCCATGATTTTACCTCCAATGGACGCAAGTTTCTATGGTGAAGATATCTCCTGAGAGTTCGGGACTAGCAGAAAGAAGCGAGGAAATTTCGACCGTTTGGTTCTTACGGATAGGTATTTATGTATTCGGGTTTGTGTGAATGTAAGCTATTTGACTTTCCAGAAAACGATATTTTGCAAGTGACGTTGATTGGTTGGTTGAACCACGTACGGTAAGAGCTGTTAAGGAAATGGATCCCGCTTAAACTATTAAAGGATAGCTTTGCCTTTAATTGTAATAATTTTTTAGTTTCTTTGAGAGGAATTTAGACTATTAAACAAATTTTCAATAGTTGGTGACAAATGATAAGCAAAATTAAATGTAAATTCTAAAAGGAAATATGCTTTAACATAAAAGTGCTTTTTTTGTTGGTTTTTTTTTTTCCCCTTTTTAATGGGTAAGTATTTAAGTAGTCACATGAACTCAAGCCCTAAGTTTTTTGCATTGACCAGCTTTTTCGTCCTGCAGGTATGATGGGCGTGGTCACCTGCATGACCTTTCTGAATATGATGCTGAATATTCTACGTGGAACAGAGATTATCAGTTATCTGAAGAGGAAGCTAGAATAGAGGCCCTCTGTGATGAAGAGAGGTATTTAGCCTTGCATACGGACTTGCTTGAGGAGGAGGCGAGGCAAGGTATTGCTCAAGGAAACTTCCTTAGTTAGCACATGTTTAAATAAATAATTATGAAATTAAATTAACTCCTACTTATTTTATACTCTCTTTTTTCTGATGTTATCTTGACAGTATCCAGTGGATTCGAAAAACGGGAGTCTTTGCGTATGTGAGAGGACCACAGGATAGTTTAAATATAGATCCACACAGAAATTGCCCTGATTCTGAGGGCACTGGGATTTCAACCCCTCCCCCCAAAAAGAATAAAATAAACACATCCTGCTTCTTTTCCAGTGTCATATAACTGAAAGTCATTGTTCTTGTCTGCATAAATGCGTTAGAGTGTCTTAACCATCAGCCTTTATCTCTTCAGGGAGATATTAGTAGTCAGCATATGTACATGCTGCCTTTTTCTATTTAATTTTTAATGAAAGTTAAATTGATTAGGTGAAAACGTCTCATCTGAAAACTTAAGTAAGAATCATTACCTTTTATTTTATTTTATTTTATTTTTTTATGACATAAGCTTTTAAATATGTTGTATTAATTGATAATTGTGTTTTTGTTCAAGAGGAGGAATATAAAAGACTGAGCGAAGCTTTGGCTGAAGATGGTACCTATAATGCAGTGGGATTTCGTTATGGCAGTGATTATTATGACCCTTCAGAACCCACTGAGGAGGAGGAGCATCAGCCTGCAAAACAAAGAGGTAAGGCATAAAAATAGTGAGCCTTAGTTAAGGGGAAGAGCATAGCTCTTCTGTCTCCTATGATAATCTTTAGTTGAAGCACAATTGCATTGTGAAATCTTAAGGAACCTTTCAAGTGTTAGCGAACTCTGTCTTAGTGAAGTTAGGATTGTTTAATTAGTGATTGGTTGTCTTTAACTATATGTTACTGGGTTACTGAGATAGGAGATGTGCTTGTTTTACCAGTGGGATATAATGCAGGATTGTTTTAGCTATTAAAGATTGTTTGGTTGTTCTTGCTGTTATGTGGGGAAGGCTGGCTGTGTCAGAGCAGTGTCATTGGTGCTTGCATTCCACCAAGGGAGCTTTCCTGGGTTCTTCAATACTGATGCTGAATTTGTGTTGTCTTGTTCAGTATAATCATTTGTTTTATTCCCTTATGTCTGGTAGATTACATAACTGAATACTTTCTATGTCTTCTTTGCATAGTTTTTCAGTGTTTCTTGTCAAATATTTGTTTTGCATGTTGTGAAGATTTGTTTACAGCTTGCACCTTCCGAAAAATTGGGGATTGTTAAGAACATGTTTTTAGTTTGGCTGCCACATTGGAAAAGTGAATGTTCCCCTCCCTTTGGTTGCTAAAAATGGAATCTGTTGAACCTTATAGCATGTCTTCATCGGAAGAAGCATTTGCAAAGCTGTGATAACATGCCGTAGTGTTATAGTAAAAGAGTTGTGAGTTCTAGTTTTATGTGGGTTGCTGTACATGTTTTTCTTTCCTGGAATGGTGAGATACCTAGAATAATGTATTTCAGTTTTAATGGAATCATTCTTCCAGGAGTAAGATACAGCTTGAACATTACTGAGTCATTGAAAAAGAGAGAATTATTCCAATCTTCGAGTTAATATTTATTTAATCAATGTTTGATACTGCATGGGAGTGCCATACTAAACTATTACAAAATCTTTCATTGTAATGTGAGAGTTCTAATGCTGCTGACAAGAAGCAGAAATCCTCATAGTAGCTCATGGGAACATTATCTTAGTTGTTAATTTTCTTATCAGACTACTAATTGAAAACTTATAGTAATGATGGATGACAAAGGGGCACATTCTAGTAGTATTTGATAGTAGTTGGAGAAGAAGAGAGAAACATCAGTATTATGTTTTTCTATAGTTGAAAATACAGCTTTTTAATAGATTGTTGTATGGTAGCCATTTCCAATAATATAGGACTATAAATCCTTAAATTGATTGTTATAAATTGTAATAGAGTAAAATTCAGTATTGGAAGATGGATGTAACTGTAACGGGAATTACAGACTGTAGTTCTGTGAACACTTCAAATATTAGCTGGAGCTGCTGCCAAATGAAACAGAGTTGTTCTTTGCCACTTCTTCCTTCCCCTAATGTAGAAATTTCTGTGGACTTAAAATGTGGACTTAAAATGGTTGAATATATAAAAAAAAAAATTGCATATAGCAATAGAAGAGGTTGCTGTCTTTCTTGCATGGTAACAGTTTGCATGCGAGCAGTGACTACGACTCCTGATGCACAACTATGCTGTTCTGTTGCCTGTGTCCATAGTTTTCCTGACCCATGTGAGGTTACTAGTAGTTTATAGTGTGTAAAAGCATCTAAACTGCACCTGCATTTTCTAAAGGACACAAAATATTGACTTGAACTTTCATGCATGCATTATTGTACAAATGTCATTGCTTTATTTACACTTCTGGTCCCTGCAAGGTTTGCATTTAACTTCTTGAAGCTGACCAGGAATAAAAATGTAACATCAGAATGATACCACATTACCTTAAGATACAGGCATAGACCTCAGTGTCCAGGTTACATTTCACCTCCATTAAGGTTTCTTTTTATTTGTACTTTTTGAATTGCTAGAATATAACTGAAGTTCGTTTTTCCTTAAAATGTTTAAACCGTAGTTAGAAGAATAGACAATGCTGAAAGTTGAATTTAAATGTAAACTGCTTGAATTAGTATATTTTATAAAGCAAGATATTTTTTTTTTAGTAATATTTCTGATATTAATAGGATGTAATTGACCTTTGTAAGGTCAATTTATGTAATAAATCTGTTAAATATTTGGCTTGCTGAAGTTGATATGAAAGCAACCATACCAACTTGAGGCTGAACTCTAAAAAGAAATAGAAACATTTATTTAATCAATTACTAAGGCAACTACTGGTGTATCTCTATAGGTTACGAAAGTGGGTTTTATTCTCTCTATTGCATTCTTCTACAGTTTTCATTTGAGCAAGGAATGTGGTAAAAGTACTTGTTTGTATATGCAGAAGTGGTAGATAACAAGGAACTGAAGTCAGACCAGATGCTGTAGGTCTTAATAGCTTTACAGATACTGAGTGTCTATATTTTGTTATGAGAAGATTCACCCAATGCATTAATTCTGTATAGATTTTCTAGTAAAAACAAGGAATAACAATAATGAAAATGCGTGTTTTCAGTTTGATTTGAGACTTATCTGTCTCCAGCTCTGTAGAAGCCAGGTCTGATGTGTATAGGTTTCTCTTTTTCCTAATACCTCTGATAATACCTAATCTATGCAACCTTACTCATATTTGTATAAACAAAACTACATGTAACATCAGGCAGAGGAATCATGTCTAAATGTCTTTAGTGTTACTGTTTATAGTTTCATCTGAGAAATTTCTGCAGTGGGCATGCTTTTAGATAACCTTTGTTGTAATTTTTGTTAATATTTGGATACACTGTCATGTTATGTGCTGTAATATTTTGCTCTGTTGTTTGTTGTAGAAACAGCTCAGACAGAAAACGTGGAAGAAAATGAAGAACCTTTTGTTGCCCCTCCAGGACTGAATGTACCTTCTGATGTGGAACTGGTATGTGTGTACTTTTAATACATACTGCATTTCTCTGGATTTTCAAGGAGTTTATGGTGCTTTTTCTCTATTAATTTCATTTTGGTGGACTTGAAATTACTCTCAAATTGTACCTTCATTTCAAATGTACTTCTTTAATTTTTAAGTTCTCTTTAAGTCTCTTGAATCTTCTTATTTGTGCTGAAATTATGACTGTGCTTACACTAAGTGTATTTAGTATCACTTCAGGTGTTACAGATCATGTGGGAAGATGGATGTGCAGTCCCAGTCTGAAGGGTATAGGAAGTGACTGGACATAAAGGCTGCATTGAGACTAACTTAGACAAATAATATATTTCTAGAAGATTCTGAAATAACTTCAAAGTTATGGAAGCTTTTCCCGACATGTGATTGTACCAGGATTTGCTACATTCTAAACTATAGGCTTAATGGCAGCTTGCATGTTTTCCTTGAGGGAAACTGAACAGTTCTTTTCCTTCCAAGATCCTTCACTGATGTAATATTAGTGTTTCAGTACAGTTATAAACATGAAGACTTTAATTTCAAGTTTCAGAAGAGAAACTGGAAAGTCTCATAATATTCTTCTATACTATGCTTGCCTTTGGCTTGCCTTCTCAGCTTGATAATCTTGAATAGTCAAGACTTAAAGTAATTTTTTAGAATAACTGATCATGAACACAGTGTATTTGTTTAAGACTGTCATCTGTTTCATTACCCATTAATTGAAAATTCCTGTTTTGTTTTGTTTCTAATATATGACTAAGAGCTGTTTAACATCTCTATTATACAGTGTTTTCTATTTTTTTCTGTGCAATCTTACAGTATATTTCAACAGTTAAGTTCTTGCAAGCCCGCTGCTGAGTTCAGATTTTTGTACATTATTGCCTTTATATTAGCAGTTACCCTTTAGTCTTAGGAGTGTTGAGTTCTTGGTTAGAAACTGCTTATTTGGCATTTGTATGCAGTTTCCAAAAAGTGTCTGCAGGTGAAAGAAAGTATGCTTGTTTAGAAATCTTTGCTGACTTTTGTTCTGAAACTTCTTATAAATTACATAGTTGTGGAGTGTGGGGTTTAATGGAGTAATTTCTCATGTAAGTCAGCTATTGACATTCAGTGTATTCAAATGAACAGAAACTGAATGGGAATGTTTAGTTTGGTTTTAAAACACACCAGCAAATCCTAAAAGTCTAGACAGCAGCTCTGAAAACAATGTGTGCTTGACTCTGGACTGGAAATCTTGGGAATATTTTTGTGAGCCGTGGTGATGATGATGTTGTTGTTCCAAGTGAATAATTCATTTTTAACACTGAAAGTTTATATTCTGTTGTGGGTTTTTTTTGCGTGTGTTAATTCAATTGCTGTGAAGTATATTGCTCACTACCCTGCTGTCTAGAAATAATAATAATAATTTGCCATTACAATGATTCACAATTTATTGGCAAATAGGTACAGATGCATTGCATTTTGTTAACACTGCTGTTTAAATAAAGATCCAGAGGCTGAGTTGTTGAATGTTGAGTGTATGGCAACTCCAGCTGCAGCAGTGATGTCATTCTGGAACATAAAAAACAAGAGTTATGTCATGCATACATGTCTTCTACTGCTTAGATTGTGGTCTGGGTTCATGGGCAAGGTTTTCACCACTGCATTTTAAGAAGTCTGTGGATGCCATGAAAGTGTGCAGTATGAGGATATTATCAGTTTTATGAAGAAAGTTTGAAAATCGCTGTGTTTTCTCAAAAAAGAGCATATTTGAGAGGCAAGATAAGATTTCCAGGCTCAGTCAAGAGTGAAGGGTTGTTGTTTAACTAGCAGTAAGGAATACTCACTCGGGAAAAATTTTTAATTACCATAGTAATTAAAGATTGGAACAGAATATGAGACTAGATGATAGTACTTCCATAATTTGACTATTTTTCTGTGTTCTGGCAGGCAGTCTTGCTTATAGAAGTTATAACAGATAGTTCTAATCAGTTTAATTCAGTCTTTTTTATTAAATGTTGTAGGAAAGTAAAGTATATCTGTGACATCTGCATTTACTTGATGGTGATTTAATGCATTTTGCTTTGTAAAATTTCTGAAGTTTTGCAGCTCACTGGTGTTTCAGAGCTTATAAACAATGTCAGTTTCCAATTCAAAGCCAGATAGTAATTTCTAGTACGATCTTTCTTGAGCTTCCTTGCTGATTTGTTGCTTTGTTCGTAAATCTCTAGGCCTTGAAATACGTGTTATATTTCAGTGTAAGAACTGCAGCAGAGGATAAATTTCATATACGACTAAATTGTGAAACAGACTATGAACAAAACAGTCTATTTGTTGAGAACCTCATTATCTCTAATTAAAATAATCTTCAGTAGTGTTCTAGAGGGACAAGTGAAATTTGAAACAACTAATTATTTTTCCTGATTGAACATGTTGTTCTAATATAGATTCCAACTGGCTGAAAATAATTTCTAAGTATGTGCTGTTTACTGTCATTCAGACTTTCTCCCTGAATAGAGCACCACTGTCCCTTGTGCTTCTGATCTTCTGAAAAAGATTTTCTGAGGTCTGTGGCATCCGTCTGCCTTCGGACCAATAAAAATTCAAAGCTGAAATGAATTGTATGACATTTCATTTATTATAGGAACGCACAGTTTGTTGAGCACAAGAAAAAAAGAGACCTATCTAAGTATGAAATTAAGAACAGTTAATGGTGAATTTATTCGTTCTTGTTCTTCTCACTCCTTGACATAGCATGGGATTGCAGGAGTGGAAATGTGCATAAATGCTACTTACATTTCTTCGTTTTCTTTTACTGTTAAAGTAGCTAATGACTCTATGGGACGTGACAGCACTTAGAATTGCAGTATGTTTGTCTTACAATGCAACATGTCCCTTCCAAAAAAAGAGTAATAGAATAGCTTGGGCTGGAAAGTACCTTAAAGGTCATCTAGGTCTGAGCTCGGTGCTCCAGATGGGGCCTCACGAGGGCAACGTAGTAAGAGGTTTTTATAGCTAGGGAACAATACTTGCACTTTCAGAGATAAGACCATGCATGGTGGATCTCCAGAGCAGTTTGAGATCTAAAGGTAGATCCGTTCTACATTGGCACTGCTATGTCAACAAAAATGTCTGTCTCCTCTCTTGTGCACCCTGTGGTATGGCTCTGGAGTGTGCCTGGTTTTAAAGAATGTTTTTGCTGCATCAAGCAGAATTTGTTCCCCAGTTCAATTTGGTGTGAAAGATACAGAACATCTTGCAAAAGAAAATGAATGAGCTGCTGGGGGAGGTGGGGACTGTTTTTTCTTTCTCATTGTTGATATGCTTCCACCAGTTGAAAGTGATGATGATACTGTTGGTAGAGGAAGCTGAGAAGCCGGTCAGGGATCTGCTGCTCTTTCTACTTCCTTCTGGAGTTTGGCAGACTCTACAAGCTGCTTATGAAAATATAAATACATGTTATTTTACTCCCACAGCCACCAACAGCAAAAATGCATGCGATTATAGAACGAACTGCAAATTTTGTCTGCAAGCAGGGAGCTCAGTTTGAGATTATGCTGAAAGCCAAGCAAGCACGCAACTCCCAGTTTGACTTCTTGCGATTTGATCACTACCTCAATCCTTACTACAAATTCATTCAGAAAGCTATGAAGGAGGGACGATACGCTGCTCCCTCTGAAAATAAAGCAGATGAGAAAAAACGTAAGTAGTTGTTTGTTAAATAAATGGCTTTGGGGTGTGAATCAATGGGACATCCACTGATCTTTTTAGGTAACATAGCCATATATTTTAGGGGTATTGTAGTAGCAGTACTGTTATGCTGTAGCTGAGATTGATGTGATGATTCAGAATTTTCCTTAAATTAGATAAGCTTTTCTAGAAGAAAAAATTGTTTAAGAAAACTTGCTCATACAAAACTGTTACAGTCTTGGAGCTTTTATGAATACTTCTATAGCACTAGTCCAACAGAAGGTTTATTGATGACTAGCAGTGTCGTCATTTATCTGTGTTTTTGTGAATAAGCAGATTTATGAAAAATGTTGTTACTTAAAAGAAGAACATATGCTTGTCCTGTCCCCTCTTCCTTGCCAATAAAAATCTGTAGCAAACCCAAGTTAAATCCAGACATTGCTTTTATTCAGATTCGAAAGTCAAATCTGAGGAAGAGGATGATGACGATGATGACGATGATGGAAACTATCTGCATCCGAGTCTCTTTGCATCTAAAAAATCCAGTAGACTTGAAGAGCTCGTGAAGGTACTTCATTGTATTAAAGTAACTTTCTATTTCTAAAACATCTGCTTACAGGGCATAAAGGTTATGATATGCAAGCATTAGTCTCCTGCTAACAAGTTTAGCTGTCCTTGAAACAAATGTATTTTGATAAAAGCTGAGATGAAATGTTTTCAGATTTTAGTAAATAAAATCTTGACGTAATGTAACAATTTTAGTGAATAACTTTTCAGCAAAATTATTGCTGCTCTTAAAGTGTAAATTTTGCTGGAAGTGTTAAAGATGTTTTTATTTTCTGAGTTTGATCGGTGATGGAACAAAGGGAATGACAGATGGTTGTACACATCTGAGGTTCCCAGAGAAATGGCAGCAATGCTGTCTGATATTTAGACAAGTCAGGTCAGATTCTGTGTCTTATTCCAGCATTGTATGTAAGTAATAAAATAATAACCACTTATTTATTCATGATATGGATCTGTGTTTCTATCAAATTAAAGTTTGGGGTTTTTTTGGTTTGGTTTGATTTTTTTCCACAAGTTTTTGAAAAATAAACCGATTCTGATATAGGAGCTACAGAAACAGTAATTTCAGTATTTGGACAATATTATTGATAATTAATTAACGTAATCCAAATTAGGTTGATCATACCATGTTTTTTTAAATACGTACTTCAAGTTTTAACCTATTCTTAATCTCAAAATTTTTTCAGCCTTTGAAGGTAGTAGATCCTGATCATCCACTTGCAGCACTGGTCCGCAAAGCACAATCAGATAATAATTCATCAACACCACAATCAACAGATGGGGCAGCTGTACAAACATCACAAGTGGAATATTCCTCTGATTGTAAGTGCATTCTGATTAGACAGCTGGTGGTGTGCGGAGGCTAGTGGGAAGAAAATACGTTAAATTCATATCTGATCATTCATAACTGATATTTATTCTTTTCCAATCTCCTCAGTCTTTGAAGGTGCATTCTTCCACTGAGTAGCTATCAAATTGCTACCACCTTAGAAAAAGCTTAAACAGAGTGGGGGCAGATATTTAAAGCTCATGCAGCTTTTGTGTATTCTCATAACCAAAAAGGTGAAGTCAAATTTAATTGCATTTATGTGCCTCTAATGCTTTTCAAAGTCCCTAAAGTTGAAAACCTTTGATTTCTTAGATATAGAAATACAACTTTTTCATTTATGTAAGTGGATATACAGTTGTAATAATATTGATACCAAACCTGGTAATGCAGATGTATTTGCCAGATAAGAAAAACTGTTTAGATGTTCAAAACAGTTTTTTACCAGCTTTGTATGGTTGTAATACTTTTATTTTGAGCAATAGTATTTAGAAGGGTTGTTAATAAAGTGGAACTTTTTAAACTAACTTTAAAATTCTGTTGTTTTCTGTATTGAAAATACATTTTGCTCTTATAGTAATGCTGTAATTTAATTAATTGGCCAGTGATAATAGCCATCTAATTCCTCAGTGTTACTTTTGAATATATGCTCACCTTTCTTAATGCATACACAATTTTAAGTAAGCTAAGCTGCCTGAGGTGAGTTAGTTTAGGAGGAATTATTTCATATTAGGTTGTTTTTTGTAGGCCTCCTCTAGTTCACTTTTTTATTATTATTTCTAACTATTTGGCTTCCAATTGTCTCTCAGTATATTCTGATCCTGTCTTTGAATCCATGCATTTCTTCATTTTTTAACATGATGAATTAGATACCATTTTTTAGTGTGTTTCATGAATCTAAATTCTTGTGGTTTTGTACTGATGTAGTTGTTACTTTATTTTTTTATTAGATGTCTTTCTTTTAAAAGAAAATTATTCTTAAATAAATGTTTTAAATGTTTTCTTTATAGCAACTGTGGCAGCCATGTATTATAGTTACTATATGCTACCTGATGGAACCTACTGCCTCGCACCTCCACCTCCAGGAATAGATGTTGCCACCTACTACAATGCCTTGCCTGCAGGGGTGACTGTATCAAGCACTACAGGTGTAGGAACTGTACCTCCACCCCCTGGTACGACACCTCCACCTCCCCCTGACACAACTGATAGCAGCAGTGGGTTAACCTCTACCACAACTTCTACAAGGTACCACATAATTTTATAGATATGCTTGTTTGGTGGAGGAATCTCTTTTCTACACTGCAGTACAAAATATTTAGTGACAGCTTTTGTGATTGGTGATGCCTTAGTCACGTTGCCATTATCAGTACAGCTTTGGTTACTTGGTTTCACTTTGGTCTTTGATATTATGTGTGGTTATTTTATTTGTCTTCTATGAACTTTTTGCTAGTTGGAAAATCAGCAGTTACTTTAACTGCATAATGAGACCAAGGAACAAGCCTCTATTTCATGTGTTTTGTTAAAACAGGAGACTGAAAGGTATTTATATTCTATTTATAAAAACAGTGTATTTTTTATGTTTTCAGCACAATTGCTCCAGTGGTTGCCATTATACCTCCACCCCCAGATATCCAACCTGTTATTGACAAGCTAGCTGAGTATGTTGCTAGGAATGGGATAAAATTTGAAACAAGTGTTCGTGCCAAGAATGATCTCAGGTAAGAGAAAACATTATTTCACTCTTTATTTTAAAAGTTGAGGATTTCATTTACAAGTATATTAAAATGGCATGCTGATCTCAAGAAGGGGATTACTTTTTTTTTTTTTTTAATGAAATTCGGGGACCTACTGAAAGGTAATGCCAGAGTGTTATTGCTCCAATCATCAAAGCACCAGAAAGTTTCTGTAGAAACCATGCTCTCAGCATATAAGACCTGGAAGTTTACACATACATTGCAGTCCTTCTGAATACCAAATAGGGTTCCATCTGCAAGAAAGATTTAGACAGCAGTGGATTGTTGGTATTTACCGTGTTCATGTGCGTTTTCACAAATTCAGTTTTCTTTTAACAGATTTGAGTTCCTACAACCATGGCACCAGTATAACCCTTATTATGAATTTAAAAAACAGTTCTTCCTTCAAAAAGAGAGCAGTGACAACTGTCAGGTATGTGTGTTAAAACTGCAGTGTAAGTGAGCAAGACTTGCTTATCGAGTGTATTACTGTGAGACTTGTTAAAAATTGAACTCTGAATAATGGAGAACTTGTTCAGCAAAGGGTGTGAATGCTTTTTTTGTTGCTTTTTAATTTTGTATAGCATTTAATTTGGGATGTGTGAGGTGATGTGATACTTAGTTCTTGCTTTTTAGTGTGATCAGCCACTCACTGTGGTTGTATTCTAAAATGGCAAGCCATGAATCTTTTGAATATATGCCTTGTGGAGGTCTAGAGACTTGTAGAATTAGGATTAGTGTTCTTTTGTCAGAAAGGTGAGATATAAATTTTTAACAGCTTCATGATTCTTTGTAAAGTAGTAGCTAAACTACGTTTTTGGCATGATTTTTTTCTAAGGGAGATTTTATAAGAGAAGAATACTGGCACGACTGACTGAAATAATACTGGACCTTCAAAATCTCATGACAGCTTATTACTTCCTTTGCTTACTTTACTCGTGTAATTAGAAGATAGTATCCAGACTTGGCATCCTTATTTCTAGCCATTCTCATGTTAGCTAATAGCATTAGATTGTTTGTTCTCTTACTGAAAAGAAAATTGCAAATATTATCAGAAATATTTTATCTGATGTTAACTTTTCATGGGAAAGAGCTATTTTCTTTTTAGGCCCTATGTCATTTGTCATCTCAAGGCTTATATTGGAGTGCTCAACAATTAATTACTTAAACTGAAAGAAGGTAGGCCTGTGGGTATACTCCTCAAAATAACTTTCTGGAAAATGAAGAAATTCAATAATATTCAATGTTTGAAACACTTGTCTCATATTTTAACTGTGAAAAATGCTTTGAAAACACTATTTTTAAAGATAAGCTGTAGTAAATATAGTCTTATTCAGTTGATAAGTTACATGCAAAATCATCCTGTTCCACAATGATAGCTTTTATTCTAGAATTTCTTATTTGCAAACTAGTTTGTTGAATTCATATGAGTTACATAATTAATTAATTGGGACTTAATATTTACTTTCTGGGGAAACTGCACCCCAACCAAAAATGTTTCCTTTTAGGTGTTCCTGTTAGGAACCTTTTCCTCCTAGGTGCTTGATAAGAAGTAAGCAGAAAAACTGGTTCAAGTTCCCTGAGGTTGTATATGGCAGCGTATATCATCCTACTGCAAGATTTTGTAGATAATGACATGCTCTTTAATTTTTGTAGAATAAAGATTTCAGTATTATTTTTATGCTTTAATAACATAAGTATAGGCAACTAATGCAATTGTTTATTCTCTATTTGGCCATTAAAGTTAATAGAGAATTGTACTATTGGCTTCAGTAAATACATGAAGTCCATTTCTTCCCCAGGGATTTTCAGTAATTAGTTCTGTTGGTAGGGGAAGGGCTTCAGGGAGCAATGAAGGGATCCCTTCAAAACATTATGTTTCAATATTAAATATATTTAACACCGTGTTGAGAGAGACTCATTTAAATGTTAAATTATTTAATGTGATCACCCAACTTGCTGTGTAAATATATTTAATATTCTACAATATCTGTCTTGGTACTTCTATAGTATGAGTTTAGAAGTTTTCTTGAATGATTCAGTCACATAGCAGTGACTGTTTACTCTTCTGAAAATCATAGAAGATCTGTACTACGTCAATTTAGTGCCACAAAAGCCATTGATAGGTCTGATGTTCTTCAGCAAAAGGTTAGAAGTCGTCAAACATTAACTTGTGTTCATCTCTATAATAACTTGACTTTGTAAAGAAAGTATCATGCAATTGTATATTAGCAAAAAATGTCAGGAGCTTTCATTCTGTCACTGTCAGTCAACTTTAATGGATTTTGTCCTGGGCCCTGGAGGTCAAGACCTAAAAGGATATACTTTGGAAAGAAAGTGTATGCTTTTAGGGTCTAGTTTTAAAAAGCACCATTTTTAAAACAGTTGTTTGGCAGAAGTGTACTGGCTGAAGAACGTTTCCTTACCTGTAAAATAACATCTTACTGCAGATCTTTAGTCTGTGCAGCCTGTGGGTTTATGTGAAGCAGTGTGTTATATTTATAAGAAGCAGGCTTTCAGTCTTGACTGCTTATAGAGGTACAATTAGCTGTTGATAGTGATTTTTGAAATGGCTGGCAGAATTGCAGCTCCCCAGGCACTGTGTTAACTCTGTCATAAGCTATTCAGTTGGTAAGTTTGCGTATTTCTTTTGAAAAGGGAGTATCTTCATCCGAAGATGTTCCAGCAGATACTACCACTGATGCACCAAGTGAAACTCAGCTTGCAGATGGGCACACACCTGAAGATGGATCTGAGCCAAGTGCTAAGGGAGCTCTAGAAACTAAAAAGGATGTTCCTCCTAAAACTGTTAGTGATGGCAAATTGGTAAAAGGTATGTTGGCACAGTTTGTTGGCCATAAAAATATTTGTCAGCACATATTGAAGAAAAAAAAAAAGGAGTGGTGGAGGGTGTGGGAAAGAATTTGAGCATGCAGAAAGCATTTTCACTAAATGCTCAGAAAGAAACAAATAATCAATTTGCTTGTTTTCATATTTTTTTATCAGACAGTGAGGTATTTACTGTCTGACAGAATAAATTGTTTTGTTTCAATTTTGTGTGAAGTTGAAAGCTTTCATCAGCGTTCACAATAGAATCTTATTTTTGTCATTTAAAACTTGACAGTTATAAGCTCCTTGTGACAAAGAGGTTATTCCTTCTGAATAAAGGAACACTCTTAGAAACCATATGTGTGGAGGAAGTGCACTAGGCTTATTACTTGGTTAATCAGCATGTTGGATGATGGTCATATTGAAAAGAAAAAAAATCCTTTTTGTGTCCAAGTGGACTGTTGTTCCTCTTGCATTTGTATCAGCAGAGGGATAATGTGGAAGGACTTCTTGAAAGACAGTCAGCTAACACACTCTTGTTATTGTGTGAGACGCATAATTTTGAGTGTGGGAGACCCTCAGCTAATTTTGAATAGAGAAACATTTTACAACCATATAATATGGTTTGTGTAGAGTGTCTAGAAAATGGTTTGTATCTGAAATACGGAGATTTTTAATTTGAGACTGAACATTACAGGGCAAATGAAGGTTCCAAAATTTCTTCAATGAAAAAAAAAAAAGGATGGTTATGTTGTCCTATCCCCCAGAATAAAATCACAGTGTGAGGATTATACAAGCTTACAAGCTGGTTTGTTGTTTGTTTTTTGTTTTTTTTTTTTGGTTTGGTTTCTTTCATGGTATAGGCAGATGTTATGGATGGTTAAGTCAAATTCAACCTGCATTCCACTGTAGTCCACTGATGTGTAAAATCTAACCCATTCATTCACAGCATCATTTGCTCCAATAAGCTTTGCAATCAAGGCCAAAGAAAATGACCTTCTTCCTTTGGAGAAAAACCGTGTCAAATTAGATGATGACAGTGATGAGGAGGAAGAAGAGGGCAAGGAAGGCCAGGAGAATGCTAATAGTGCTTCAAACAATACTCCAGCTGTTACCACTCCTTGTGTTGCTGTTGAAGAGAAAAAACCTCAACTTACACAGGAGGAGTTGGAAGCTAAACAAGGTATCTCATGTTACATTGAAAACAAAATGACAGATTGAGTCCTTCGTAAAGCATAGCATTTTGAGTATTTTCAGTCATCACTCTGTCATGTTAGTAGGAATTGGGTTCTTTTTTCCTATTCCCACAGTTCTTTGTTTATTTTTAATATGAATTTTCATTGGTTGCTCAGCTAAAACTGATACTATAATATGTTGTCACTGAATGCTTTGACCTAATGCGTGATCTTACTGTTACTTATTTTATTCACAGCCTTGGAATAAAGCACTAAACTTCTGATTTCCAGTTTGCATTAACACAGCCCAGAAAAAGACATGTCCATTTCTCATTTTCTTCGCAGAACAATGAAATGCTTCCAGCTATTTTTCAATAATGTAGCATGCCCATATACACTAATATCACCTTGCTGATGTTTTGTTACTGTTACAATGAAGTGCCATTAAATCTTTGTATGGGTTTTTCTGTTACTGTGTTTGTGTATGTAAGGGCACAAAGGTAGGATGTGTGAATTTGAATGAAATAGTCTTTTAAAGGAATCATCCCCCAGGCAGTTGCACAGTAGAGATTATTTAATAAAGTAGAGATGCTGTCATGTGTACCAGCTTAAAAACTTAATATTTTCTTAGAACGGTAAGTATGCCACAGGAATTTAATTTTTTTCATTTTTAAAATATACTTTTTTCACTCCTAAGTAGTAATTTCTTTCTACGCAGAGTATGCTGTAGTGGTACAGATCTAAAGCAGATAGGAAGTATTTTCCATGATAGTACATGAAGCGTGAGAGATGATTGGAAAAAGCTGTATGTGGGTAAACTGCAGCTAACCAAATAAGCTATCCTGTATGCACACAGAACACAAAACTGGAAGTGTAAGATGGAACAGGTTAGGCAAAATTTCTATTAGATGCATCACTAAATGAAGTGTGTTGTTTTCTTTCTTTAATCACATAACAGTAATTGTTGCTTGTAACAATGGCAGAACAGTTTCTGAAGCTATTTAGAGGTTTTTTAAGATGTATGCAAATAGGATGGAAGATGTGAGGAAATGATCTGGCCTGTGAGAAAAGCAAAATGGAGACTCTGCATTGCTTTAAGAAGTATAAAGGGGAAAAGCCTCCAAATTTACGCTGCTACAGTTTTAGACAGCTATCATAAATACTGAGTAAAGCACAAGTGTCCTGCATTTTCAGGATCAGATTTTTATGTCACTTTCTTCAAGCTTAAGGATTTTTACATATCTGTTAATGCTTTTTGTTAGGGAATTGACATTATCTATAAATTATAATGGTTAGAATTTCATAATTTCAAGCTAATATGTCCTTACTAGTGCTTTGAAAGGAAGTACTAGAAAAGGTTTGAGTATATAGCTGGGGGGGATGTTTGGTTAGTCTGTTGGGTTTTGTTTCTTTGAAGGAAACTTTAGTTGCGGATGTGTGATTCACACTAAACTTAATGTTTGTCTCTCTTAGCAAAACAGAAACTTGAGGATAGACTAGCAGCTGCAGCAAGAGAGAAGCTTGCACAGGCCTCCAAGGAATCAAAGGAAAAGCAGCTACAAGCAGAACGCAAAAGGAAAGCTGCACTGTTCTTGCAGACCCTGAAAAATCCTCTGTCAGAGGCAGAAACCGAGAAGGTTGAGGAGAATGCCTTCAGTGTTGAGGTAAGGAGGAGATAAATTTCTCTTTACCATAAAGCTAGCAGAAGACTTGCAGGATGTTAATCTGACAGTATTTTATCAGATTGACTGAAGAGATGGAAGATCTTTCCAAATGGAGAGAAAGTTATATTTTAAACACTGTTGATCTTTTTCAGTTATCTGAGATGTTTCTTACATGTCAGTTAAGTACTGATAGAGAAATATGATGTGAAATTCAGAGTTCAGTTTGCCAGTTAGAGAAAGCAAAATAAGCTTGCAAAATTAACTCTGCAGTAGTGGCCCATGAATTTGAATGTTTCCCTTTCAAATTTATGTAGGTATTTATTTTACTGTTTGCTTTTTTAATGTGTTTTGTTGTGAGTAGACGTCTTCAAGATTTTAAAATAGTTCTCAGCAACTGAGCTTACTTTTCAGTTATTCTGGTGCATTTGTTGATATTTTTTATTTTATTTTATTTTATTTTATTTTATTTTATTTTATTTTATTTTATTAATTTAGCTGATGTGAAAACTGCGATAAAAAGGTAGGGAATTGATCCATACAATTTAAGGCTTCTAGCTTGAGAAAATAAAGGTGTAGATGGGAAAAATCTAGACTCTATAATGATTGTCACTCATCATTATGTTAGTTGAGTGTTTCATGCAGATGCTTTAAAAGATTAGAATGCTAAGAGATTTTCCTCTTAGGCTAAATTTCAGTATAAGACTTAAGAGATTTATTACTACTATTGTTATTAGATTTTAAAAACAAAACAATTTATGAAGTGGTGCAAAATTCAAACATGTTTGTACATGCTCCTCTCTGGGCAGATTGTCAATAAAGAATTGAAACAAAAGTTCAAATTGAAGTGATTAAGCTCACAAAGTTACATCAACATTGGTTCAAAATGCTTATTTCTATATCGTTTTAAAAAGAAAGAGATAGTCTGCAAGAAAAAGGAACTTGAAGTACAAGCTACTGAGAAATTCAGATTACGAATTCGTGTTTTATAATAATGAAGACAAAACTGGAATTAAAGTTTCAGCTTTTTCTGTGGTAACTTTTGTACTTCAGTCATGTTCAGCACTCTACTAACAGTGAAATGTATTTTGTTGACTTACTCCAGTAGACTGTTTACTTTAACAGTATATTCATAATTTTGATTTGCATCTTCAAGATGGCTATATAGAAATTGAGAGATGGTGTTTCTAGAATTTATCATTTCCAGCTTGTTGAAATCTGGAATAGATAAGAAGCATACAAATACTGTATTTTTCATCTCCCTTCTTTAGTTGTAGATACCGGTTCTAGAAATACTTCTCTGCAAATTTTATTCTTGAAATATAAAACAAACTCTAAAAACTTGGATTAATCAAAGCCGTAGATCTGTTTTTTTCCTATTAATGAATGGAAATTGCCATTCATGATAACTAAGAATTAACGTATTTCACATAAACCCTTTCTGATTTCAGTAAAATAATCACAATTTTAAAAGACTAAGTAAGGGATTTACATTTATTATATAGGAAAATCCTTCTAGTATTGATTTCTTGGTACATCGTAGCTCTGTCCTGAAACTTTTCTCTCCATCTGTAAGTTTTGGCAGCAAAGCTGTAATTTCAATCCAAATATCACATTCCCACGTGCATTATATATTTTCCATTTAAGTTCTTCTTTGCTTAACTTCATCCTTTCCCTAGAGGAGAAGGAGCTAGTTTCCTTCTTGGTTTTTGTTCTTTTTTTTTTTTTCTCACTCATTCTGGCTGTTATGGTGAGCCACTCTCTTTCTGCCAGTGCTTGTCATAGTTTACAAAGTGCAAACTTTACTTCCAGGAGTGTCACCCTTTATTTTTCTTTCAGCCTGAGCGTTGTTTTATCATAACACATTCCAATCCAGTGTGATGTCATGCATGCCTGCCAAAAGATGTGGCTGTGTGTTTTCAGCATCTGCATGGTCACTTCCAGCAAGTCCAGACAACCTCTTTTCATAATGGGAAAAAAAAAAAAAAAAATCACATCAAAACCAATTTTCAGTGAAGTAGGCTTAGACTTAGGGCTTTTCTGCAGTAGCTGTCAGTGCCTGTGGGGAAAAAGGTAGGAATGAGATTTGGTGTAGACTGTGTAGTTACCTGTAACTCAACATAAATTGTGTCTGAAGTTTATGTAGTTTCAAAGTATCACTGTGGGTCTTACATCAGCCAGAAAGATATTTTTGTGTTTATCTATATGTGCTGCAGTTAGACCTACTGTGCACGTTGCAAACACAAATATTGTTGGGAAATGAAACGTCACATTTCTGGTTTTGGAACTGTGTCACTCCTAGAAAGGCCAGCGAGAAATTCTTCATTGCATTGATCAAGCAAAACTTTGTCTTTGGATAGTGATTGAAAATTTCAGGTAATAATTGTGACACCCTGGAACATGAGTGAATGATGTGGCTTTCAATCATGTCCTTTCCCACAGAAAGAATTCCAGTGCAAATATTTCATTGTCCAGTTCTTGATTTTTCCAAATAAATCAAGAATTATCCTTCAAAAGACTTTTAGGAGAAGAGTCATACGAAAGAGAATTACATGTATTTTAGTTGAACCATATCAGCACAAAGTGGCAGATTTGTGAATTAAATGTGATCACATGCTATAAGAAATCCTGTTCAGGATTCTCATTGCTAACGCTAATGAATTTTCCCTGTGATTGGCACACATTCAGTATATTTTTCCAGTTATTTGTTGAAGTGTGAATGCAAAGAGACCGTGCCAGTGCAGAATTCTTGAGGCTTTCAGTCTGTTCTTCTTAAGGGATTTTTTCAAGGACATAGATATTTCTAAACTAAGATTCTTTTGTCATTTTTCTTTAAGGGAATGCTTGAAAAAATCAATAATTTTTCAGTAACAGTTGTGTCTTTTTCAGAAGAGCAGATGAGTGTCCCCACTTGCATCTGAAATTTCTGAAGTTCTAAGTTGAACTTACTAGAAAACAGGTCAACTTGGCAACAAAAATCTCACTCTTATTCCACTTCTAAGCAAGCTTATTTGCTAAAAACGTCTGTTTTTCTTCTACCACGTATGTGCAGTTTCAGAGAAGGCATTTCTTTTTCTCACAGATGAAGTCTGGTATATCTCAGAATTTTAAAGCAACCAGTTTCACTGCTGCTTACCAGTAGGAAAGGTTGGGAAATTATTTGTTTGTAAATGGTCTTATTTAGAATTTCAAATGTATATTTAAGTGTTGCTGATGTGACCTTCATTTTTGAAATAAAACTGGCTGCTGTATTGGGAGTGCCAGTACTGTCTTACAGAGCAGGCATTTCCTGTACTCAGTGCTCAGAATCCAGTAAGCTGCATCGTGATATCCACGTCTATTTATAAAGGAATACATTGCACAATTTTTTTTATTTTTTTATTTTTTAATGTTTTTTCAGTCATGTGTCAGAAAAATTCATTTAAGAACACTGATGGTAAAAGTATTCTCCATTAACAAAAAGTAACTACAATAGCTGTAATCAGGGAAATAGATACAATCAATAGAAAGAGAGATGTAGAACTAGTTTTGCAGTTTGGTCAATGGAACTAAAAGAAATTTAGTAAAATGAAAACATAAGCATTTTCGTCTACCAAAAATACCCCTTAGCATATTTCATCTCTCCTTTGTGAGTAGGAGCAACCAGTGTGGATGCAGGGAGCAAAAGCTGATATGCAGTGTTCATAGAGTTAATGTAATACAGTGATTTTTTTGTAGCTTAAAATCTCAAAAATTGCGTAAGTGGTTGAAAAATACAATAAGGCATGAAAGTGGGTTGAGAATTTCCATGGGAGATGTGTAATTCCCATGAGATTGTCCCTGCCAAAATACTGCATAAAAACTAGTCATGCTATTTATGCGTATACTCAGAGTAGAGTGATGCTGAAAACCTGTTTATCACACTGTGTAGAAATGCATTAAATGAGCAAAGCTTTTTTGACCTCTGTCAGATTTTTCTGATACCTTGCTTTTCTTTAAAAAAAATGGCTGATATTGAGTATATGTTACATCTTTGAAAACAATTGATTGCACTAACTGCATGTGAAGGGCAGTCGATACCATAGAATATAATGCGTGGAAGCTTTTTGGCTTCAGATGGATCACAAAAACAGTTAGATCCACTTTTTCCCCTAGCTCAATTCTTTATTTTATATTGTTTCCTGCTTTCCTTTAAAGTGAAATGAAGCAAGAGGAGCAGAAAGCTAATAATTGAGCTTGAGCAGCGAAGCAGCACAGCTTTTCAGAAACAAATCCTCACCCTTCTTTGGAGTGTTACAGGAGAACAGTCAGGGTACAGCCTAGTCCTGCCTCGGAGCAGCGCTTGTAAAACATGGCACTAGCTCGGTTTCCCAAGCTGATCAGCTTCCAGTAACGTTGCAGGAAGTGAAGTCTGCCCTTTTTGGAGACATGAGTAATAGTAACAGGCTAGCCTTTCCCTTTCTGTGTTTATGTATGTGATCAGTGCATGCTTCTTTTGTAGCAAGAAAATCATGCTGAGAAATCTGCGGGGTTTGTCAATAAAGAGAAATTGCAGTCAGCCAGACACAAATGCAGAGGTATATTCTTTGTCAGAGAAAGAAGTCTTAAGCAACCATTGGAGTCAGTTAAGAGAGAAGGCATCTCCCAGAATTTACTGGTACAATAGACAACATGGGACAGTGGTGACAAAAATAGGAGGGGGCAGTGCTGGTGGCTGGCTAGGCAGGGCTTTATGTGCTCCCTGCAGCTTGGTCAATTTGACTTCTTCAAAGCAGCTATGCAGTGCACTGACAGGTGTTCTGCATGTGTAGGACAGTGTAATTTTTGTATATGAGGCATGATTTACCTAATAGCATGTCTGGTAATGGTTATCACTGATGATGGTTATCAACTAGTGAGTATTCTGCTCATCTCTCATGTTTTATCTTGTCAGAAATGCTTTAAGGATACTTTGATCTGTATGTAAAAGGCAGTTGGCTGTATCCAAACTGTTACCTATATAAACTCTAAAATCCAATTTAAACAAGGGAAAAAAATCCACTATCATAGTGCTGCAAAAACAAGCAAGCACATAATTTGATTGGCTGTCCCTAATGTCATCTGCTATTGTGCCTCTGAATATAAAGATTCTGTAGAACAAAGCAGTACTTAACTTGTTTTGGCTCTTTCATCCTTTCTCTTTTGAAGACCTGGTTTTTGCTTTTTTCTCAGATGGCTTGTCCTTACTTTTGTTCTGTGCATAACAGTGTTCTTTGCTGTGTGTGTGCAGACTGGTCTGTTTACAAGTGACATAGAAGTTTGTAGTACAGGTTTAAAAACAAGGTGTTATTCAAGTTTTTCCAAGCTTAACAGGGTTATCAAGAACTGCATCATGTGCATCTTTCACATTTTCTGCTGTAGATGATTCTGCTTTCTGAGCAATAGGCAGTAGGTATTACTGTATGCTTCCCTAGAATAATAATATCATTTATAACATAATATTCTGTTTGCATGTAAATTTAATAAAAAATCAGTTTGTGACCAAAATGTAACTGCGTAATGAATACCATGTGCTTAGTATTCAGAGGAACAAAAAGCTTTCAAATGTTTTAGGGTCATCCACTTCTCACTTTACATTTTGTTCAGAATATATGTATCATTATCTTCTGTTTAGCGTGGAATGATTGGTGGGGTTGTTAGCTAATTTGTTTGGAAATTTCCTTTATTTTACTTTTTCAGAAGACTGCATACTGGGGTGGCATTTGGGGCAGAAGTGGTGGAGATCTTACTGGCATTTAGGACTTGCTTTTTTTTTTTTTACTACAAGAACCCTACCATTAAAAAACAAAACAAAAAACTACGTGAGAGTTGTAATTCTTCACACTGTAATTACTTTAACTAATATTTAAAGAAGAAAAAGTTAAATATCAGGAGCTGCCACCTAAAGAATTTAGATATGTGGGAGAGTTAAGAATGTTCTATGCCTTGAATTTTATCCTCATGTTACTGAGGGTAAAAAGGCATGCTGCTCCATGGAACTAACACGGATTCACAGCCCCAGTTGTTTGTTTTTTGTTGGTTTTTTTTTTTTTTTTTTTTTTTTTTCAGTGGCCTTTCAGAATTAAAAATGAGAAGTTCTATTTTCAAAGAAATTCTCATGGTCAAAGCAATGTTAATTGCTGTACATCCGTGCAGCAGCTGAACAGAGATGAAACAGTTGGGTCTTTGAGTATTTAGTATTTAATTTGTTCTATAGGAACAAGTGTTTTTATCACTCTTTTAATTGCTTTGGGGTAATTTGTTTTATTTAGGGTAGGACTAATGAAATCTTCCTAAGGTAATAACTCTGCTCTCTTTGGTGCACAAAGCAATACTATGTTTTCATTGCTGGTAGACAGTTACTTATTACTTCTCTGTCAGGGAATATTTCAGCATAGTCTTTGGGGAATCTGCAGTGAAAAGGTTCTGTGGTAGAGAAGAGAGTGTGAAGCGATTTCACATTTCAATAAAATAAAAGAGTTGTTGATTAACTCTTTGCAGTTGTAACATACTTCTCTCTTTCCAACTTTGATCTAATAAAGATTCAAATTAATGCAAAATTCAGCTGTTCAGAGTAGAAAAAAATATTGTCCAGCTGCAGGAGTGTTAGTTAAGTTGTAATGCTCTTTACCAGTTAATTTAATTTGCACCAGGAACAGTGCCAGTGTTTTGTTCTGCTGTGATAGGCACCTTTTTGGTTCACTTCAGATGTTGCATTTCAGTATTGATTAGGTAATGTAACCCCTGAAAAACTGTGCGTGTCCTGATAGTGCAAATAAATAAGTGTCTTGTTATGAACTGGTCTTCTGGTTTTGTTCTCACTTAGCTGCAAAGCCTTTCTGAGAGACAGCTCTTTCCTAACCCATTGCTGCTAAAGAAGAGTTGTTCAGTCATCTTTGTTTTCTAAAGAAGTATGTTTGAATTGTTTCTCACAAGGAGTGTTTATTTTAGAAAGCTTTCTTTTAGAAGAATTTTCCCCAGTGATCCAAATACAACACTAAAGAGGAACTCCGATAGTCTAACACTGTAGTATTTAAGGAGGGCTGAAAAAAGGGGCTGTTATCCTAGATGGGCAAAGAAGTGTGTTTCATTGAATGCTTCCTGGAAAATTTGTAATGTCATTTCCTAGCAGAGCTCTCAAAAAATGTTAATTTCTCTCTTCCCTCGAGATGCGTCGTAAAACTTGTCGGGTAACCAGCTTGCTGCCACACTTCCTGAAATTGCATTCTGCTGACCTGCTGGTTTGCACAGTCTGATCAGTAACACAGCATTTTGGAAATGCTTAGTAATCTCCCAGTATCTGCACTGGCTTTGAGTCTTTATTTGTTTATTTGCTCCACTCTCGGTTCCAATCTCTTGCATCTGTTACCTTAGTTTGCACGGATCAGTTTTCCCTTGTAAAAGCACAAGTCACTGACAGCATCTTCCATTTGCGAGACACAAGGCAGTTTTGTTTTCTTTCGAAGATTTATTCTGAAGCAGTATTTATACACACTGAAATTTTTGTGTGTGTCCTGGCAACTTGCTGGCATTTAGTTATTTCACAGAGCGCTGCCTCCAGGTCTGTTTCCAGCCATTTTGTTGATGATTTTTGTCTTGAAGGCAAACAGAGCTGCAGCTGAGGGATTCAGCATGTTTGCTGGCAGCTGATCTTTCTGTTGGGACCTGAGGACTTCTGAGCACCTGGTCCCAGCGGTGCTGCCTCAGTTTGGCAGATAGGTGGCTTCTCTCTCCATGTTAGCTGTAGTCTTTCACTTGGGACCTACATGTTCATTTGGAGGATCTTTCCATTATCACAGTACAGTTTCTGCTGGAGCTTTCCAAACATGGTTCATTAGAAACTTGGAGCAGCTGAGAGATGGACACTCTAGGAGTGGTGAGTGTCCTGTAAGACAAGGGGAGACCTCCATTTCAGCATCCAGTGCTTTTGGTATCTGTGTAGGGACGCTTAGCACTGGAGGGGTTCTTCATTTTGATTGCTGAAATGGTTCTGAGTGTAGGCTAAAAGTACCCATGTTGTTCAGTTATTAACTTCCTTTTTGGTAGTGGTATAATAGCTGATGTTTCATGCAGCCAAATATACTTGGGCACTGAAAAACGTTGTTTTTTCTTTCTCGTCTTGTTTCCTCTTAACTCTACTTTGCCTACAGCTATTTTGTTTCAGGCTATTAGAGTTATCTACTTCAAGGCAAAATGGTCTATTACATATTCAGCAGTGTTCAAAGAGAAGAGTGGGGTACTGTATAAAGACATGAATAACATTGTGAAGGAACAAAAGTAGGCTGCAGAAGTCTCTTAGGAAACCCTTGAGTTTGGAAATGAGGTGTCTGGAACTGCACGTGGATTGTGAAGTTAGTGAAACTGGAAATAGGCCACCAGTAAACCAGTCACTCAAATGATCGTGACTGAAAATATTTACAGTCCTTGAAGCAAACCATGCTAGTGCTGCTTTATTGCTGTTTTTGTAAATATTGTGATAGCAGTTATCAGTTAAATCTCAGGAAAGAGTCATTGCTCTAACGTAAAGCAAAACCAAATTTCTCATTATTCAAATGTACTCAATTATTGCCTTGACATATTCACAGTAGGAGAGGGGTAAAGAGAGAGGAAAAGATCACCTGCTTCTAATTTGGTTATTTTGGCTTTTAATGTATTAGTTTCCATTCTGGTCACAGTGAGCATTCTTGTATCAAACAGTGAAAGTGTCAGATCAGGTGGAGCAGAAATTATGATAGGGAAACTGTTTTTTCCAGTTGCCTTGAAATGGCAGCTGAGGGAATGACAGTTTTTGAAATGAGGAGCATATCGACAGTGCCTGACTTGAATTGTTCTACACAAGGTGCTGAGCAGAATACTCTTGGGTATGAGCAGATAATTTGAAAACTTCTTGGAGTGTGGTAGGTTTTGCTTAATTGACTTAATTGTAGTCAGAATTACTGACTGACTAAACATGATTTGAGCAAGGACCTGCTGCATCGTTAGGATTAATAATTTTGTCTTTGTTCCAACCCTTTACGTACAAGAAAACTTATTTCATAAAGTACAGAAATAACTTTTATCAGCTGTATTTCATTTTGCTGTTTTCCTTGAGGTTCTTATCAAAATAGCAGAGCTCAGGGAGAAAACTGACTTTAAAACTTGATGTTGAGTATCAGCAGATCCTGATTGTATTCTCAGGTTTATGCCTTTATAAATAAAGGGACAAATGGATAAAAAGCTATCTGACAGTACCTATTTTTTAGAATACATTTCTTCTAAAAATTAAAGATGAAAACTTCAGGACTATGTCCTATTTGAGGTGACAGCCTTAGCATATATGTTACAACTTGCATATATAACTGTGAGGGACTGTATGGACCTCCATTAAATACTGTTAGATCTGTGTTTGTGAAGATGTGAGCCTTACTTACACATGCTTTACGTAATACTAATGCACCGAGGATTTAAAACAGTTGTGGAAGGTTAAACTGTTACTGATTAAACAACTATTTTCTTAAGATGGTTGTATTTTTCACATTTCTATGAGTGAAAAAAAAAAGAATATCATGAGTTACTGTCTTCCTTGCTGTTGTACTTGTTATCCTGCTTTTCTTCAATATAAGTGTATATTGATAAGGCTACCAAGTGGGATATCTTAAGTTTCTTTGTTGGAAGTGTATATTTATGTGTCATGCACAGGAGTAGACGTAGCCCTCTGTTAGTATAAAGGATTGTAGACCTTATGCATTGTCTATACGTGTATAACTTGTTAAAGATCTGTATGCAACTTTGAGATCTGAACACTGTTGTTCTTTTTTACATTTAATTTCAGAGTGTCAGTAGTATATCATGTCCTGTGACTGCAGTCAGAACGTTACCTGCCTTAGAAGTTAGCAGAACTTCTGCAGCAGAAAGGCCTTCTAGCAAAAGCAGAGATCCTCCTCGGGATGAAGAAAAAGAAAAAAAGAGAAAAAAACACAAGAAAAGATCTCGGTCAAGATCTCGATCACCTTTCAAGTATCATTCATCATCTAAGACCAGATCTAGATCACATTCAAAAGCAAAGCACTCACTTCCCACTGCCTATAGGACTGTCAGGCATTCAAGGTGGGTTCGGATACCAACCATGTTCTTTAGTGCTGTGTGGCTAATACTGAAAATGTTTTTGCACTTCTTTAATTATATTGCATTTTCATACCCATTAGATGAGGTATAGTCACCCTGAAGACAGTGAGTAAATATGAGCTGTGGAAAAGCTCTGAAAATATTTTTAATGAACTTTCTCTGAAAATAATTTTTTAATGAAATAATCATTAATTTCTAATTACACAGTGCAAAATGTTCATCAGTAAATTTCACTCTGGTCTGTGAAGTACTTGGCAATATTGTGTAGGAGTCTGATTATAACAAGAGGAGGAATTTGTGCCTGTTGCTGCAGTACAGTAACAATATGTACCAGCTGAAACCAGGACACAATATTAAAGTAAGAAATAAGAAAAGAGAACCAGGTAGTTGAACAGCAAAGTTCAGAAGGAAGGCAAGCAATTGGGTAGCATATGAAAAGATATGATTGATGAATGACTGGAGAGATGTGACAGGCATCCAAGAAGGGTGAAAACAGAGTTGGTGAAGGAAGCCATAAGAGAGTGTAGCCCAGCACAGCTAACTGTATATTTGGTTATTAATGAAAGTAAATATATTACGTTAATTATCTAGCTGTAAGCTAATACATATTATGTTCTATTAATGTTGTTAATTACATCTAAGACATTTGGGTCTCAGAACCTTTAGAGTTTGCCGTGTGTAAACTTTGTCTCGTCTTAATGCCAGGCCACATAGCAGTCACTGTGGTTGGTCAGAAAGGCATATTATTGGGGTTATAGTCTCTGGATCATGCAACAGAATACTTAAAGAGTATTTCTATAACTTGTAGTTCAAATGAATTGTGCCTATAAATACTACCTTAGCTGTGTGTGTGTCTGATGCAGAATTATTTATTATCGTTGTGGACATGCCTGCGGCTTAAATGCTTCTTCCCGAGAAACAGATGGCCCAGTTACTTCTCAATTTTTTTCTAGCTCTTGATGGTGATGTGACAGATCTTCTCATCATATATCTTCCCTTTACTTTTTGTTGCTGTTGTTTATTTAACAAAGTGTCTAAGTATGGTAATATGAGTAAGTGTTAATGCTTTACAACATGTTATTTTCTACTAGGTTTTTTTAGTTTTAGTATGATACTTCACTGAAGACATCTCTTGTTCAGAGATGAAAGAAATTAAATGAACATAACTTGGGCTTAAACAATCCGTCTGACACACTGCTTATTCGACTAACTGGAAGTCACAGTACTATGTATGTTATTAGCTGCATTCAGAATCTGGTACCATTCCTTTTTTCTATGTAACGAATGTGTAAATGGAATGGTGCTGAATTAAGCTTTCCTTGCTTATGAATTGAATATAAGTCTTTTCAGAGTTAAAGATATCTTGAGGAGAAGTCTCATCAAATGAATCAGTGAATCGCTTTTTTTTTTGACTCCCTATCAAGCCGTATCTTCACTCAGAGCTCCAGCATCTCTTAAGTCAAGCTATGATTCATATTTTTATCCGTTTTTTTATTTATCAGTGGTAAAAACAAGGATAGAATTAGTAACGTGATTGTGATGATTTAAAAATATATATATTCTTTTCTAGCACCTTGAAAAAGAATTATCTGAGAAGATTCTTATCAGCACCTGTGTATGCTGCTCGGTGAAGCTGATCTTTGTGTGCGATGTTGAATATGCCTTCTGGCACAAATTAATTAATAGATAATAGTAGTCCTAACATAATGAATCAACACAACACCTAATTAAGTTTGGATGGATTTTTCTCTGTTGAATGATACACCTGAGAAGTCCAGTGTTTTTGCTGGCTGGCTGAATTTTCAGAACTGCGCCAATTCTTGCACTGAGAACATTTTGCACATCATAAAACTTTAGACAGGTTAGAACTGAACAGGAAAGGACTCTCATTTATCATATTTTCTGATCTGAGTGTACCAGTTCAAACAAAGACCTCTGGAGGGTCTCCCATTCAGAAACCAATAGCATACAGGAACTTAAGGCAGTATCATCAGTGCTGAGTGATCACCTGTTCACTTTGAGATTTCTGCAGGACACGTGTGAGACTTCTGGTCAAGAGACCTGTTAAAAATCAAAATTTACCTTACTAACTACAGCATATGACAAGACTGTAACTAAACTTCTGCTTGAGGTCCTCTAATTAACGCAGAATATCTTCTTCTTGGATCTTGGTATGGTGACTGTATTGGTTTACTTTAATGGAAATGTATCATTTTATCGCATAAATTTTTTGTTATTTACCAGTAAGGAGTAGGCTGATGGGAATATAGTATAAATTTGACATTGGGAGAAGTCAGGCAACACAAGCAGGTCTTACATAGTATTGATCGAGTGAATCCTCAGCTAGAAGACAAGTTCCAGAACTGCAAATAAGATTTATAGAGATATGTTTAAAATGGGAAATATTTTTGTTGTTGATTTGTTTGGCTTAAGATAGGGTGAGGGGGTGAGAGTAAGAATGATGACTGGAAAAAGTGGAGAAAGATTAATTGAGTCATTGTGAATGCCAAAAAGAGAGGTGTAGAACATTCTTCTTCAGTCTCTAAGGTTTGGACAGTAAGTAATGGATGTAAATTGATAGAAGAGAGACTAGAAAGCTTTTTATAGTTTTTCAGTGGTTAATACAGCTTGTAAAAGCTTCATCATGGGAAATTTCTGCATTAAGAATGATGGTTTGGAGAGTATTAAAGAGTCTGATTTCTTGAGATTTTTTTCTAGCCCCGTATTTCTAATTAGGTCCTTGAAAAATTATCCACACAGTCTGACATTGTACACGGAATGATTGTGATAGTTAGCCAAGCTTTGCTGAAAGTATTTGCTTTACCTTAACATAAACAGTATATTTCCAAAATTAAAGCTCTTGCTCAAGAAACTTGAAAGGTGTTAAAATAATCAAGTAATCAAGAGTGGGAGGCTGATTCATAACCCATTGAGACACTTAAGTGTTTTGTCTGTCAAATGTTTTGGTAAAAATAATACCTTGTCTTAGTAATCTCCCCAGAAGAGGCAAATGTTGGTGCCTAGCTAGACGTGATTTTTTTTTTTCTTTCTTTTCATATTCCGATATTAAGTGTAGAAAATTATTTCCATTTGTTGCCTTATGCATGGTAATTGCCAAGTGATGGCCTGAAACAATGGTTGAGCACCAGGTGAGAAAGTGTGGCTAATTCAGGGAGCTCAGGTGCAAACAGCCCCATAAAGCTCCTCGGATGGTCCAGCTTGAATTCTGGACCAACATGACAAGTTAAACAAAAACCATAGAAGGAGTAAGCCATGTACAAAAGCAATGTAGGGTATTCTAGTGTGGCTTATTTTGGAGATGGTAGTACCAAAGAGATAACTATTATAAATAAGTAATTCATGTCAAAAATGAGGCACATCTGTTAAATCTTTTTTGGCAAACAGTCTTTGGTGCCTTCTAGTCATCTCCAGTAAATGCTTTGTGGTATCTTTCTTCTAATCGAAGTGAAATAAAAAGTTCACATGAATTGTGTGCATTGTCAGTTGCTGAAGTTTTAAGTATGCTGCTTCAGTGGAAACTTTGATTTCGCAAGTGGACAGTAAGAGTAAGGAATGACTATGTTTATCTGCATCTATTTTCTATCAGTAGATCTCTCTGTAGCACATCTAAGCTAATGATGTATTTGTGAGAGTGTGGTTTATGTGAGAGGAGGAGATGGAAAAATGCTCTTTGCATGTTGAATGATGTAGTAATTTGGTTAGTCGAAATCTGAAAGGTTATTTTGAACAAGAGCAGAGATGAAAATCTCAAACTGTTGAATATTGATCCTATTTCTTTATACTGTCTTTATACCGTGTGTGTGAGAGAGAAACTGACTTTTTGCCTCATCTGCAGAAAAATGAAACTTGGAAGTAACTGCTCTCTGTTCCAAACCAATTGTCTTACTGTTGAGGCAGTATCAATTCACTTAGTTTTAATTCTTATGTTGTAATGAGACATGCCAAGCTTTGTAATCCTTTGAACTTCTGGGACGCTTCTTAATACAAGTTCTATTGACTTTAAAGGAATGGAGTATCTTGAAATAATAGTATAATGAAGGTAATAATTGTAATATCACAGTAACACTGTTAAGCTGTTTTTAATTGTTTGAAACTAATGGCCAAAGTTCTTAACGTTTAGCGATTGGAAGAATGTTGTAAAACCAAAACCATCATATCCAGTTCATAAAAATGAAGCTAATGCATTTTTCTTTCTGATTGTTTGGACTTTTTTTAGGCTGGTCCATATAGGCATGTTTCACTAAGGTTCAGCTTTTGGTTAAGGGAGCCTTTTCAGGATTCTAGTTAATACCAAAACTAGCACATTTTATTCTGAATGTGAAGTGTGTGCCTCCGTATCACAGACTCACAGCATCCACAGGGACACTGAGCATGGAACCGAGTCTGAGCAGCTCATCAGTGGCAGCAGCAACAGAGCGGGAAAGTTATCAGGCAGCTTCGACAACGAAAAGATTTGACTGCTGGCGCTCTTTTGAGGGAAATCCTGGTAAAATGTCAAGGTGTCTGACTGACCCAAACTTTATGATCTGTTGTTTTTTTTTCCTTTTTTATTCCTTCTGAAAGGCCTGGTAAAGATCAGATTTCTAAGGGACTGAGCAGTTAATTTGCAACACTTAACTGCCATTGTGATTACTCATTCATTTTCAATCGATCAGTTCTGTTGTAGGTATAAGAGAAATGGCTCAGGAACGTGTGTATATGCTAAATATACAGTTTTAAGTCTCCAGAAGATCAGTGATTTCACAAATTGCTTCTCTTTTGGTCACTGCAAGAGAATGAAAGAGAATGAGTGCTTGGTATACATGGAATGGTGTACCTGTAGTATATAGATAAACTTGAAAGCAAACAAATTATTAGAACTACATAGGTTAGTGGGAACAAAATTAACTGCAGCTACAAAGAATTTGGGGTACATCTTGGGTCTGGTGTTTTTTCTTTCTTTTTTTTCAAGCTGGAACCTTATCTTGTCCCCTTCTCAACCTTACCTCCCTTTCCCCTCCATCCTTCAGGACTTTTCTCATTCAATTATTTGGTTATTAAAAAATAGTCACTTTTTTTTCATATCCGCTTAATTGCAGATCATAGAAAAAAAGAGTTATGCTGTTACGTTGATCTCTGATCTTAACTGGGCATGCATTCTTTATTTTCATCTTGGTCTTTTTCTAGGAAAAAATACTTTAAGTTGAAGTGCTAGTGCTAAACAATGCCAGTTGTAAGTAGTTGGTCACTTGCACAGGTGAAAGTATTGGCTATGTTAGGTTTATTCTGCAGCAGCGGGGATAAAATTTCCTGGACTTGTCAGTACTGGAGATGCACTGAAAACAAAAACTTACATTTATCTCTATGATGCAGCAGTTCTGAAAACATACCATTAATCTGAGAAGACAAGGTCAGGCCTGACAGTTCCAGGCTTCAAGCCAAATTGGACTTCTGTGTACCAGCATTAGTAAACTCTGTTGCCACAATAGGTGACTGCACTGAAGAGAGACATTCCCACTTACTAATACAAATATTGATGTTAGCACACAATACTGGGGGGGAGGTGGGGGGGGAGTTCTTTTTCCCCACTGTTGGGACTGAAAAGCATAAGTACATCCTAAATGTGTGGGGTGGGTAAGAAATTCTGGTGCAACTGACAAGTCTTGGAGAATAGGTACCCCGTGTTGGTATAAAATAAAAATATGAATGGTGATACGTTTGCTTTTGGTGACAGCACAATTCCACTGAGATAAAAATAGCAGTACAAATAACATAAGTAACAAAAAGCAAACTTTTGGCTGTTTTTTCCTGCTTAGGTCACGATCACGGTCACCTAGGAGGAGAGCTCACACACCAGAAAGGCGGAGAGAGGAAAGGAGTGTTCCAACAGCTTATCGCATTAGTAATAGTCCTGGAAATAGTAGGAAACGTGCACGATCCAAGTAAGTACACCTCATCCAAGTGAAGGTGATGTTCTGGTATCACAAGATACTTTAAATGTTGCCTGAAGTATTGCATAGTCCCTAGGTAAAACTCAAGTGTTTTTGCTATGGGGCTATGTTTTAAGAAACAAATACGTCTGTGGAGGAAAAAGAAAAACCAAGCACTGTTTCTCTTAAGCTGATCTTGATCATGTTTGAACTGAATGTACTGAGTTAGCAAGCATTAATACACCACTGTCTACAGGCTGTGAAAGTTGAGATTTATTTGGAGTTTCAAATCTTCTTTGGCTCCCTACAGAGGTCATATACTATGTTATTCTTACTGGTATTTGAAAGTTGCTTGGGTACCCATTGTATCTGCACAAATAAGGGGAGAATCCAGCTTAGCAGCTGGTATGCTTTACATTCAACAGTTATTTTACTGGCTGAGTAGAATGTGAAATATGAAACAAGTAATGTCTGTTTTAAGAGCACCTTGCTTGCAGTCTGTCTGAACCTGCTATCATCGGGATAGCATAACCACCATTATTTCTGATCAACGGTTGCAAAATAAAAGCATCTGGAAAGTGTGTGCACAAAAGGCTTTGAAATGTTTTGTCTCTAAAGTCAATGTGCAGGTGAATTTTTTAAATTCATTATATGTACAGCTAATGTGTACGCAAAACACAGTACCTTAAGGTTTCTAAACTGAGTGTACAGAATTTTTTTTGTCATCCATTAAGATTAGGCTTTAAGCTGTTTTTCTGTCTCTCTTGTGGGGTAGGAAGCAGCGATCACTTTCACCTGCGATTTTTAAAATATTTGTATTGTTTCATAAGATAGTTTTCCATCTTTTGACAGCCCCCAGTGAATTGATTTGTAATACGCATGAATGAGAACATCATCGGTATAGTTCAACTGATTGTTTTTCATATTCATCAACTTGAGATAATTTTAAAAAGCAAGCAAACCAACTGTGGATTTGCATTTTAGATCTTTTTCTTATCTATAGTTCCATGGTTTGTTCATTTATGGGCTAAAAAAATACAGGGAAATATAAATGCTTCTGTTCCTCATTATATTCCAGGTGACTGATGTTGTTTGGAAAGGAACTTACCTCTAGCAAAGTTATTCTGCAAATTTTCAATTAAAGACTTTTCATTGTTATCCTTTAGACTATCAAATACTGTCTGTAATTTCTCTGTACCTGGGAAGTAGTTTTCCATGTGGACTCTTTAAAATACTAGCAGTTGCTTATTGCAGTTTGTTAAAAAGAGCTTCTGATACAGCCAGAGAAGTGCAATATTGGACTTTAAAGTATGATATCGAGGTACAACTGTAATGCGTGCTTGGGGCATGTACTCTATGGAAGAGGACTGCATAATCTTTTAGAAGTGTGAAAAGTGCCTTCTGCTGAACAAGTTTCATGCTTCTATAGATACCCTTCAATGAAATATTTTCTCCTCACAGAAGTCCCCATGAAAAGAAGAAGAAGAGGAGGTCTAGATCACGTACTAAGTCCAGAGCTAGGTCTCCTTCACCAGCTGTGTCACCAGGCAAACCATCTACACACAAAAATTCTGTGCATTCAAATAGTGTCTCTCCTGTGGAGAGCAGGGAATCCAGCCAGGAACGCTCCAGGTAATGTGCTTTCTTACAGTAATACTGTTATGCTGATGACTTTTGCCTATGAATGTGTCTTTTGACGTAACTTGGGTGGTAAGAAGCTCTGTGTGCAAATACGTGTGTGTGCTTATTGAAAGTAGAAGACGCTGGGAGAGCAGTGCTGCGTACATCAGTCTAACAATGACAGTGTTGTCTGCTGGAGTTTTCAGGATCAGATTTAAAAACTTGGAAAACACACAACACTTTCTATGCTACACTTGCTATTTTAAATAGAAAATCCCTGTACAAATTTAATCTGTCAAAGGATTTTTCATGTTACATTTGAGATGAAATAGGATCACCTAAATGTGGTAAACAGAAGGTTCTGCTTCTTGTTATAGTATACATCTTGACATACTCCTACAATAACAGTTGTGTGGAATATTCCACAATGTAATTCTAAGTTAATAATTCTCACTAAGCAGGATAACTCTTTGAAGTAAAAATTTTAACAGAATGGTTTGAATTTCAGTGTCTCTGAGAAATTCACAGTTAGGTTGTTTCCACAGAGTGTTCTACAGTCCTGTTGATAATCCCTAGCCTGTTCAGATTTCTTTTAATCAGTTGTGTAGGAGTTAGTCTTCTGACCTTGACTTATCCTGCCTTCTGGTTGAATGACAGAACTTTCAACTAATGCATGAGATAGTTGTACAATGGTGCTCCAAATTGTGTGAAATGCATTTTAAAAACATATGCTGTAGAATTCTAATTCTGATTGTACTTTTTAGGGGAGTTTCTCAGGAAAAAGATGGCCAAATCTCTTCAGCGATTGTGTCTTCAGTGCAGAGTAAAATCACTCAGGTACAAATAGACAAATTAAGCATGTTGCTTAATTATGTGTGTTCATCATAGGAAATTCTTAATACTTTGTGCAGTTCTAGCTTTGCATACAATATAGAGACACGTTTATTGTCGATCTGTTTGCTTATGAGAAAAGCAATTTTGTTGCTTATGTAGCGGCTCTCTTTTCAAGTTTAATTAAGCCTTTCAAGATCAAGCGATGTTCATCATGATGCAGTATAACCACTGTTAAGATATGAAAGTCCACGTTATGCTAGAACAATACACCAACTGCAATCAGCAGATATTACTGAGAGTCCATCTTATCATGTAGTGATCTTAACAAGTTTTATGAAAGGATGAAGGAACATCTTGGCAAACAAAGTTTGTAGTGTTGTCAGTAGAGGAAAGATGCATCCTCTTACACCTACTTTAGTTTGCATGCTTTGCACTGAGCAATATCTACAGCTCACCTGTCTTACCCTTGTTGCTGTTTATGCCTGTGAACTTCTTGTTGCTGTATTCAAGCCTGCTGTGGCTTATAGCATAGCTTTCTACAACCATATCAGGTATGTGCATCTATATGGCATGCCATAATCTAAATGCATTCATTATCCTTATCGCAGTTTTAAGATATCTATTCTCTGTCAAAATAATACAGTTTCTTTTTTAAAAGCTACTGCCTGGTAAAAACTGTTCTAAAATTTTTAATTTTACTCATCTTCTTAGGAACTTCATGCGTTTTGAACTTCTTTCAATTCAATATGCCAAGTGTACAGCAGGAAAACTCTTTATTATGCTCTGGGAAATTTACAATATAAAATCAGAATTGCTTTTTATATTCCCTTTTTTCTTTTTTTTTTTTTCAATGAGTAGATTATCCTTTCAATATCATTCCAAGATTTAGTTCCTCTAGAGAAGGAGAAGTAATTGGAAATTAATACAAGTAGACTAATATCTTGCATGAAATATGTCATTCATTTTGAAAAGAAACCATAAACAAGAATATGCAATCTAATAGGAAGTACAGGCACTGGCAAAAGAAAATGGAATACTGACACCATAGCACTTCATAAGCTACCAGAGAAATGCATGGAAATTGCTGGTAAGAGTAGAGACATTAAAAGTCTTAAAAGTATAGTAAATGCCTTACCTTTTTAAAAACATACTTCTTTTAGACAAAAGTAAAGTTCTTGAGTTTCTGGGGTTAAATATTGCTTATGCCACAGGATTTGCTAGCTAGTATTCATCTGATTGCATCAGCTGGAACGGGCTGCCCAGGGAGGTGGTGGAGTCACTGTCCCTGGAGGTGTTCAAGAAACGTGTAGATGTTGCACTGAGCTACATGGCTTAGTGGGAAATATTGGTGGTAGGTGGATGGTTGGACTGGATGACCTTAGAGGTCTTTTCCAACCTTGGTGATTCTGTGATACTGTGAAAGGGCAGCTGTAAGAGGAGCATAAACTGCAGTACAGTTTAAAATGCGTCTGTTCAGTAGCTTTGAAATGGTATTAAAATGCAATTCTTACAGTTTTCAAAAAGTAAGGAAGAACTAGACTTCTGTGTATCTCCAAGATATTACCTAGCATAATTTAGTTTGGCATGTTTTTATCTGTAAAGGCCCAAAGAAATTTTAATTTGCCTCATTATTAGAAAGACTTTTTTGCTGCCAGTCTGCTAGTTTACCCTGGTTTCAGTATCTTTTCTCATTCGCTTCCTTACATCTGCAAAGTGAATTAGTGATGCTGAATTCTACAATCAAGTGTTTTGAGAGCTTCAGATGAAAAATGCTTTAAAAGTACTAAGGATTATTTACATTACATGTGTGAAGAAATGTGTTAATTAATCTTAATTTATTTCTGATAAACACTCCTTATTTTCTGATCGTTTTTTGCAACCCAATTATCAGATGTGTTTACATGGAAAATTTCCTTTCGTAATGCTGTTTCCACTGGATACTCAGACAAGATTGAAAATTGCTCTTGGGTTCACAGTAGTCTTAAAGTTTCTTTCACTGTTGTATGTAAAAATAGTGCTGCTATGTAAATTTTTGGCTCAGCTTTACAAAAAGCTCTCTGTTAAAGAATTGTTAGTGCTTTCATCTTAATGAGCTCTTGTGCTCTTTCTTTACCTTGATTGGTTAGTAGTTTTATGTATTTATTACAGTTTTGAGGAAGGTATAATTTCTTTCTGTTTCAGTTCAGATTATTTCTGTGTTTTGTTGTTTAGAAACTACTCTAATTACTTAAGCAGAGCACTTTGTAGCACTGCAGTGAAAACAGACTTACGAAAATAGTTGCTGTGATATGAACGTTCTCCAAATTATTTCAGTTCCTTAGCCTGGAGACTGTTAATATCTGGTGATCATGAATTTCAGTATTTTACGTAATCAGAGTTCTTCATGCATTTTTTTTTTTGTCACATGCTTTATCTTTGTTTAAAGCACAAGCAAGCCTGATCATTTTTTCTCTTGTATTCTACAGGATCTTATGGCCAAAGTGAGAGCAATGCTTGCAGCTTCCAAAAACATTCAAACTAGTGCCTCCTGAGACCTGTTGATCTGATCATCAAGAAATTATGTAAAAGAACAACGTTAAAACTGCCTCATCTCAAATGTATAGCTGAGCATAGCTCACTTGGTTCACAACTCTCTTCTCTAATATTACCAGAACTTGAGGAGCTGAAACCTATCTTTCTGTACAGAACTGTCTCCTTGAAATTTCATTAAATTTTTTCAGGCAGAATATCTTTGGGAAGTTTTTGGTTTTTGTAAATTGATTTTTTGACTAATTCTTCAGTAACATTTTATGATCAGCAGTCTATATGTGTATATTTGTAAATACTACGTTTCTGTGATAAAAGTATTACACAATAATAAAGAACGAAACATCTTTCATTAGCTCCAGAGTTTTTGTAGAGTCCTTAGCTCTTTGAGATTGACTTCTGTTATGTATTTCTTTTCTTTAATTCTTTCTGCTTTTTGAAATAACAACTGTCTAGCTTCCTTAGGATGAAAAATAATTTTCATCTCACTTCAGGTACAGGATTATCTAAGAATGCTTGTTTATTTGGATGTTAGTAGTGGAGATTTCTGAACAGGGGGACATAATTATTATCTGTTACTTAGAGTGGTCTGATCTGTAATCAAATTGTAGTTACTATGACTTCGGTTCTAATTTTCACTAGTTTCTTATATTTTAAGGGTATATGCATAATATCTGTTACTAAAGATACTCTATTTTTAATGAGTTAGACAGCTTTCTAATTGGCTCTTCAGTCAGCTGTTGGGTAACCTGTTAATTATAAAACAAAAAAGTGGATTATTTGGGGATCTTAGTGTAGAATGTTTAAAATTAATTTTCCTTCAAGTAGAGAGACCTTGCTTACACAAAGTGCAGCTACTATCAAATTGAGTTGATGGTTTGGCACTGAACTACTTGGCTCTATGAAGAAGCTGACAGCTGTTGAAATATACCTGCAGTGTTTTGGCTTTGGTTTCACATCAGTTGTCACTTGTAACTCTTCATATTTGTAACATTTTGACACCACCAACAATTTTGGGATGTACACTTTCTCACTTGTTAATCGTCCTGCATTAAGACAAGTGAGACCATACTTCCAATTTTTTTTAATGGGACAACAAATTATAACATTAGAATTAATGTTTTCCTGGATTTAAGGCAATATCGTCTTATGTGAAGAAAATGCATTGCAAAGTCCCCTTTAATTAAATTTCTACTTACATCAAGTTTACTGTATGCTTAACTTCTCCCATCCTTAGCAAGTGACTAACTACATGAAGCAAAGAAGTAGACCTGTGGATTGAGGTTAGTGAAGGACCATCTTCTTCACTAATTTTAATTTTGCCTCATATTCTGAAAGCATTCAGTGCAGCATTACACTGTTCTAACATCCCTATTTTTGTTCCATAAGTTTATTTGACTATATGAAGAGTCATTGGAAATTCTCTGAAGGTGCAGCTCTTAAAAGTTGGAACTTCAGTGTTTGTTTCTCCTGTTATGATCTCACTGTGAGCATGATCTGAATATTTCATTTTGGTTTTAGATGTGCTCTCTCAGCACTGAAAGTGTATTAGTTGTAAGGGGAAAGATGCTATTGGAGCAGTTTGGAAGCTAATACCTGCCTACCTGCTAAATAGGTTTCTGTCTTTCTGATGGTCAGCTGGTGTGGTATTTTGTTTGTTATTCTGTTTGTTCTATCAGAGGATTCCTGATAATTCTTGATGTAAAGTGTCTTTGATTTCGCCGTAATATACCCTCCTCTGGACTACACAGGAGGTGAGTGTAGATGGAGAAATACCCAACTGGATTTTGTGTCATCTTAAAGCAGATTCCTCACTGTTTATAACAATCCACTTCAACTTTCCCGTGAATTTGAAACTTCTGTAGTATTAACACTTTTAATTTGAATGAAGATGATAATCTCATGGCAACCATTAATCCTGATCATTTAGCATGACAAACATTACAAAAAGCTCTGCCAGACCAATTTAAAAGCTGTGCTAATCTGCCATTTTTGGATCGCTGCCATACTCTCCTCTGGAGATGTACTGTGTCTTTTTTTTTCTGGTAGAGACAAAACGGCCACACATGTAGATGGATGCTGACAGACTTATTTTTAAGACTGAATACTAAACTGTTAGTCTCTGAACAGAAAATGTGATGATTTCTTGATGGTACTTGACAGTGTTATAAATACTCTTAGTAATAAAGTGAGGAACGTCCCAGTATGCAAGACTGGAGAGGGACAGATGCTGAGTTCCCCAGGCAACACAATGAGTGGCAGGTGAGATACATTTCTTCACTGAAACTGGCACAGTTTAAGGATACAAGCTTTTCCTTGTCCAGCGTTTTGTAAAATATATTCTAAGAATGTGTTCTTCCAGAGAGAAGTCTTGTGTATGCTTATATTTCATCCTTAAAAAGCAGGCTTCAGGTTTTCTTGTTAAAATGCAATCCAAGGATGTCTATGCAGCTTTATTTATTAGGACGTGGTAGCCTTGGTGACTGTAGGAATGTCTCTTAAGCCCTCATTTGTATAACAGCTTTTTTTTTTTCTTACAGATATGTCAAAGCTTGAAGAAAACTAACCTTTAACTGCGATTAAGAAACAGGTCAGGGGGTTTGGCTTTACCAGGAAGGAAAAAGTAATGGCTATTCCTCCTTTCTGAAGCTTTAATGTTTTAATTTATTTTCCAAGGATGACTGCTGAAAAGATAAGTATTTTTCTAGCCTGAGTAAGCTTAAAAGATATTTTAGCATTAAGCTATTGAAACAATCAGAATTGCATTGACCACGGGTCTCTGAGTGCCCTACCTTGTGTATAATGATTATAGATCACCAAGTACAATGATTATCAGACTTCTATCAAAATCATATGTTGCATTTAAAGAAAGGTTGGGAAGTGGGACAAGCCTGTGTTAAAGCAGCATTACAGTCCGTTTTCTGCAAGCTGCCTATGTTGCAAGAGGGGTTAGAAACCTGTAGCAACTTATCTTCACCTGGAAACTTTCTCCCAGTGGGTTATCAACTCAGTGAACAGGCAGCTGCTAAGAGGTGCAGAATCACTAGTGGGAAGCCTCTTTATTCCCTTGGATTGCTATGGTGGGGAAGATATGTGACATGTAAGTCTGATATAATAATGACATACAGAGGAATAAAGGTTCTTTATAGATGCTCCAATCTATTGTTTTGTTTTATATTCCCAGAACAAAGCATTTCATGTATTTGCATAATAAGAAGCCACCAGTTTACTCTGTTGAATCATGAATAGTGAAGGCCTTTAAGTTTGTAAGTTAATGGTTTTCTCAGCAAAGAGAGAATAGATGATCATTATTCTTTTGTGCAGGTCCCTTATCTGTTTGCATTCATACTGTCCCTGTGAGCAGTGCTGCAATCTATCAGTGGGAATATATTTCTATTTCATTTGTGTTCCCCCTGTCATGGCCCTGAATGTAGTAATAGACCTTAATGGCTCAGCTTGGCCATTCACCCACATCCTCTGACCAGAGGCTCTATTTCTGCTCAGCCCTGGCCCTTCAGTTCCTGCTACGCAGGCTGTGGATACATCCATTTTCCCAGTCATGCCTGTGCAAGGCAATGGGTCTTGTTGCTCTGGCTCTCTGTTCTAGTCTAATTCTCTGGCTGTTATTGTTGTCTTCATCCATGCAGATGGTTAGTACCCAACTGCACACGGTTGTGAGCACTCTGCTCCAGCTCACCCTGCTTTGAGCTGAGGGCTGGGTTGAAATGATTTCCAGATATCTCATCCAACCTCAGCTGTTCTGTGATTCTCTTCTAACAGTCAAAGACTGGCTATCTTAATCAGGATTGAAATGACTGTCTTGCCCTCCAGTCTATCTGTTTCAAGGGAAGCTGTCCTGTGTGTCTCTGTAATAGCTTTACAGAGGTATATTAACTCTAAAGGTGAATGATCCCTGTCTTACTACAGTAGGCAATAGAAATTGTCTCAGTGGCTGAAAAAAAGCCAGTATACTAAAGCAGCCTTCACTGAACTCCCTTCCCTTCAAAAAAAGATACTTTTTAAAAATGATAATATGCAATGTAATCTGAGAGTTCTAATAGCAGGACACTGGCAGATTCTTAGAATGCGATCCAATTAAATTGTTCTGTGAACCCGCACATCTCATTGCCAAAAACTTCCTATGCTTTAAGCCTTCATACATCACATAGCTATTTGTCCTCAGCTGCATCCTCTGTTCATGTTTCTTGAATAGCTGTAAGCTTATCTGATGGCTTTTAATCAGGAAATGGTAGAAATTGACAGCCTCAAGCTGTCACTGCACACAAAGGCATCATGAGACATGTATCTATTAATCCTGTGAAAGGAGCATGTTCAAGTCCTGCTGCTCATAATCTCCTGTTGGAACCAATATTGGCTAATGACTTCAGTGGTATCACTTGGCAAAAATTAAACACGTATTTTATCCTATCCTAAAGCTATTTCTATTTTCAGGCATCACAGATAAGGATGCAAAATGGACAAGTATTGATATTCCTAGTTGAATTTAAGACAGTACTGTAAAAAGAGTGAGCAGTGCTGGCAAATCTGATGGCATTTGTCTGGTGATGTTTAGCTGGCAAAGAGACATTAGCTCAGTTCTGACAACCTAATGATTCTAATGGCCTTATAATGGTTTTTTGAGACCCTCTTGTTGTGACAGTGACAATTTCCTGGACACTAAGTCCTGTGCCAAAGACCCTGAAGGGTAAGGTAGCAGGCAGTATGCATGCGGTCAGCTGCTTGCTGTACAGAATGGTTGAGCTACTGACCTTCAGAATCACTGAACTTGCTGCTTCTTTTTGACAATCCTCCAAGGCCAGAGTAGAAGTTATGATTCAAGAAAGTTAAGAATATGTTTGGGAGTAGGACTCTGCATTTTACAATCCTGGTTGACAGTGCCCAGTCCTCACATGCTTATAAACATGGGGTTTTTTCCTCCTTTCACCTGTTTTCCATTTGCCTAGTGACTCATTTGGATCAGCTTCATCCTGGGCTTCCTGAAAGTACCTGTCTCACGCTGGAAGGAATGACATTTTTTTTGGTCATTAGGCCGAATGTGTTGATGACCCTAATGGAGCAGTGGCATGCCACATCTCTCCCTTTCTGACAAACACCTTAAACCTATTCCAACTCTGAACTTCACAGCTCATTCAAGCCCCATTTTTCTGAGGCCTCATCATCTTAATATTGGAATTTTCAAGACCAATCTTCTACTCCTTTTATCCCTTCACTAGTAATGAGTTTTACACCATAATAAAAGATACAACAAAGTACAATCTAGCTACAGTTTCTTTTAAGTCACTGTAGAGTCACTGATTTCATTGTGGCATTGTCAGCAACACAAAAGCAGCTTCTCAGCCATGTGCTGTAAATTAAGTATTACCTTAAGAAACAGCTTTCTATTACCTGTTCTTATACAGTTACTTTTTCTATCCATATCAAATAGTTGCAGTTCAACTGAAATCTTGCTCGCTCTGTTAGAAAAAGCTTTCAATACCATTTCCATTGCCTAGACAGAAATTTGCAGTGAGGAGGTTTTGTGGAACTTCCCTGAAAATGTGTGATCTGTGTAGAATGGGCCGCTTGTAAAAAGCCTTCCAAATCCTCCCATTGTTCATACTGCACAGGCCTGGGCTGTGAATGATCTGCCAGTAAATAAAAATGGCATGCCGATCTCTTGCTTTTCCCCACCTTCTCAGAGGGGTATTTTAGCTCTGACTGCATAGCTGAGCACTCTGAAAAGCATTCCGGATGAGCAGCACGTCGACTTATGCCATGTTATGGAAAGAGATTGCTGTTTGCTGGTGGGCAGCTGTAATTTGAGTCACGTGTGTGGGTTTATTAGGCATGGCTTCAGATAACAGTGTGAAAAGAGGGAATTATTCCCTATTTTACAGCCCAAGTGGTATAAAAATAACTTTAAAAGGGCTGGTGGTGCCATGGGGCTGAGAGGAAGGGATGCATGCATGGCTGTGCTGCACTGTGTGGGGTCTCACCTTCTGCTGGTTCCCACAGTGCTAAGCTCCTACATGGCTGGTAGAACTCAGGGCCATTTGAGAAACCATTGCTGATAACCAAAAGGTTCAGGAGATTTTAATACATTTTAGAGGGGAGGAAGGGATAAGAGCTAAATCTTGAAATACCTAAGAGCTTGGTTCAACTGTGTGGCTGTAACTGCAGCTATCAGAAAACCTGCCTTTATGAGGAAAATGAAATGCTGTTGCTGCGATGTAAAAATGTTCCTTTCCAAAAATTCAGCAGTCTGCAAATGGAAGTCAGGCCAATGAACAACAAATCAGATAAAATGGATTTTATTCTGCCAACTGTTGATGTAATGAAATAATGAGGAAAAATGCTGTAAACAGTGCTTGTATTAAAGCACTGAATCTCCAAATCTAACTTTTCTTTTAATTGGACTGTCAGGATGGTGAGACCACAGTGCTTGCAGGAACCCATGAAAACTCAAAAGGGACAGAAAAATACATTAAAGCAGCTAATTTCTAGCACAGTGCTGATCTGTCTGCCCCTTTCTCCCTGTCAATATAAATCGTAACAGACTGATTCCTCACTGCAGAACGTTCTTTGTTACTGGTGGGTCTGAAACTGATGGAATGCTGCATTGAGTGGGAAGTGGGGAAGTAGTTGCTGCCAGCACAGAAAGCAATCAGCTTTTCCCTTTGAGTAGCACTGATAAAATGTTCACCCTCGCCAAAGGGAGGGGAAAACCTCTCTGCTGTCATGTGGGAACCAGAGCAATTTGTGTGAGGCCTTGGACATAAAAGGGTTAAGGATATCTGCAGGAAATGTTCTTGAGAGGTTGCATTATAGCTTCAGTTTTAGTTTATTACAATTTCTATGTGTACACAATTTAGCTTAGCACTGTGATGATTATTACCTGCTGCCTTTAGTTGTCAAGATTCCTATAAATGTGTTGCCATTTAACTAATTAAAGTTGGGCCAACTGCACAGCATCAGGCTGTAGGCTCTCCTGCTAATTGCACTGAGCTTTCTACTTGTTAATTTATTAAGATAAATATTTTCAGAAGGCTTTGATAATTAATAGCTATTTGTGAATTGTACCTCTCACCTGTCACTATCCTATTAGCTTATGTGTTCCCGAAACAGGAGATTGGAGCATTGTTCCCTACAACATACTAATAACGTACCAAGCAGGAGATCTGAGAGAGAAAATGAATCTGGAAATTGGAACTGTCTAAAAGTAGGGCAGGATTGGGTGTGGGCAGAGCATTGGGTTGGTGGGAGTGTGCTCTGATCCCAGTTCTCCCACTGCCTACTGGTGTGATCTCATTCTGATCGTATTAGACTTTCAGGGCTCAATTCAATATCAGAAAAATTAAGATCATTGCACTGTTTGCTTTGCTTAAGTGACACATAACTTGGGTTGAAGGGTACTGTGCTGACTGGGAGACCTTTCATTGTAGCCCCGAGGTGACAAGAAGGAAAAGCTCAGGCTGAGCCCAGCAGGGAGTGCAGAGATGACACTGCTGTTGTAGTGCGTGATTGGAGACTGCTGCTCAAAACTATGGGCCTCGTACATTTGTTGTACATACATGTAACAAGGCTAAAATCTTCTGGAGATCACACTGTACTGCCAGCAGTAACTACAGGGAGATGTCTGCACTCCTGTTCTACAGGTGTGATGCTCTGACACCATGCGTGCACCCATACTTGATGTGAAATTCATTTCCAATTCCGTGGAGATGGATTGAGGTTTATGAGTACCAGAGATGTTCTACAGGACCTCTAACTTTTTTTTAACTGCATCCTCTTCCACCTTTGCTAGAACCTGCAGTTTCAGTTGCATGACAGCATTAAAATTGACTTTGGAATTAATTTTAAATAGATTAAATACTTGTGTCTTAGAATCTTATAGCAAATGCCCATAATCTGGCATAGCAATTTTCTTTGATTTACATATTAAATATCTTCATGTAGATAAGAGGTATTTTGTACCCATTTTTAAACAACAGGCTCGGTGATGGGTTATGAAGAAACTTTTCTTACCTGGCTTCTGTCGTGTTTTTTTCTTCTTTCCAGCAGCAGTAGAACTGAAGACTTATGTGACTGATGGATTCATTCAGGGCATCTCGGAGGTAGGTAGGAAAAATAACTATTGACTTAATGGATGATGGTGGTTGATGTGAACCTAAAAGATTAATGCATAGCTAAAAATGACATCTCAGATCTTGAAACATGTAGTTTTCTGGGCTGTAAATATTCTCTATTTAATACCAAAACATAAAGTTGAACCTTAGTAATAATTCTTTCTTCAGCAGTGATCTGTCTGTGCTGAGATATTTTTATAATGCTAGCCATTGATCTTCTCAAGAGCTGCTGTGTTTGAAATAATTATTTCAAAGAAACATTGAGAAAGAAGCAAGATCATCTTTGCACAAGATTTTTTTTCATCTCTTAAATATATTCACTGTAGAAATACCTCCCTCAGAAGAGGTGAAGATCATTCCCAGCATCCTAGGCTGCTTTTTTCCTGCTCCATCTGCCAGAAGTTTTGCAGCTGGCACAATTTGTTTATTCTGTTCAATCTGTGCTCTCTTAAACCAGCAATGAATTTGATGATCAGTGTGCTGGGTTTTTAGCGTGCAGTTTTCTTTCTACTCTGAGCTACTCATTGACTATTACCACACATCACAGTAGCTTTTCCAGTGCTTTCTCCTGCAAGGCAGAGTGGAAGCAATAGCAGATGGATTGTGTGATGGGGTCTCTGCCTTCTCGGTAGGAACCTGGTGAGTGGAGCTGAGACCTGGCACTTTGTTCTGTTATTACTGCTGTCAGCACAGAGTCCCCAGCTGCAGTGCACCGATGAGAGTAGTGACAGTCTGCTTTTGCAGACATGAAAGTTGTGAGGAGCCTGTTAGCTACCAGAAAGCCAGTCTTGGGAAGTACCAGTCCTAAGATCTGGAGGGTAAGACCAGGAAACAGCACTGTGTTTGAGACAGCTGTTGAGCAAGGAATATGAGTGACACAGCTCTGCTCCTGGCTCCCTTGTTTGGCCTCTGTTGACCAAATAGCGCTGACAATGGGCTAGTGCTGTCCCTCACTGAAGGGAAAATCCTGCACTTAACAAAATGCCTTGGAGCATCAAAGTGAAGTCAGAAAGAGACTGAGAGGAAGGAAGAATTTTCAGCAGAACAGCTGGAGAATGTGGATGGGGATGTAGTGATAGGGAGGAGCTACAGGAGCAGTGGGACTGGGCAGGAACAGGGAAAGCTGATCAAAGTGTGAACAGATACAAACAAAGAAATGGGCATTTATGACCATCTCCATAATAAATTATACCATTATTACAGTCTTCACAACCATACTACCTCTCTCTTCCTATTCTTCTGAAAATTATTGCCTCCCAACAAAGCCCCAGCCCTACAAATGCTCATGATACATAATTCATGTACATGCAGGACTGTCATTTTTTTCCCTTGCAGATCTTCGGAGCACTCTGGAGAGACCCATTTATCAGATCCAAAGCAAAGCTTTGTTTTCTTCTCTCCCCCCAGACAAAACCCTCAAGCCCAGTGCCAGCTCTACAGCAGCCTGTGTGTGTGTGTGCGCATGCGTGTGCGTGCTCAGGATCCTGGCAGCTCTCGGTGAGTGACAACCTGCTGTCGTCGTCGTGTGCAATATTAATGACTGCTTTGGTGACCTTCACGTTTTCTTTCAATGTGTCTCGGTAGAATCGAAGCAATACACAATTTTCCACAAGAAATTACAGGCGAGTGGCTTAATGGAGAAATCCACCCACTCCTTTCCACTACCCTGTACAAATATTTCTAGAGCTGCTGGTGAATTTGTGTACACTAGCACACCGAGAGCAGCTTTCTAGGGTGGGAGCCCAGCCCAAGCCCTTGAGATTGATCCTGGGAATCAGTGCTTTTTGTGGAAAACTGGTAGTATGCTTTATTCCCCACCCAGCTCTCATCTCTCTTACAGCCTGTGCCCTCCGCCACTACAGGAGGAGTGTTATGTTCAAAGAAATGTTCATTACAGCTGTTTTACCCATGCCCTTTTCACATTCTAGCATTGTTTTGTACACAGCACAGAAGAACAAAGAGGTTCCTTTAAGCAATTATATTCTTCCTCTGCTAAATATAGATTAGTTTTTTTTTTTTTTTCTGATGGTTATTAAAAAAAATCATGTTAATTTACACTGCTAATGACAGATTTACTGGCATTCGTGCAACTCTTACTGTCAATATAGTTTCTAAAAAATGACTGCATATGTGTTATTTCAGAAACCAGTGCTTCTGAGCTGAATTTACAGCTGCTGGGTGCCATTCTGCAGCCTTCCTGGCATCTCTGTATTCATCAGCTGCCAGTTATAGACCCAAGTGCTCCTAGCCGTGGTCTTGTTGCTACAGAATCTGGGGGGATTCAGGAAGTCTGCATTTAGTTCTGAGATTTGACCCCAATAAATTCCCTGAGTAACTTGCAGCAAAGCAGCCTTTTGGCTCAGTTCTTTTGTAAATAGGCACGTAGTTAATAGGGCCTGTCCCATGGTCACAGCTCCAAGGGACAATGGTGGGTTGGCCCTGGCCAGCAGCGAGACATTGCCAAAGCCATCACTGAACTAATGTTTGAAGCTTCTCTACAAAGCAAGTTTCCATGATCTGAAGTGGGTTTTTCCTTTCCTTCAGCACCCACAAAGACACATCAAATGGTTCTTCATTATTTAAATCCTTCTTTTCAAGAGGAATTACCAACTGGGCAGGATGCTGGCTGTTGAACAATATGTCATGTTTCCAGTTTTAAATCCCACATAATTAGCTAAGAGTACCGGAGGAAGCCCTAATTTGCATAAGATTGCTGAATAATCGTTACATTCTTTTAAAATTATTTAGATTGGAGCATTTTCTGTTCTGTCTTTGCAGAACAGAAGTGGTGGAGACCTGGCTGTAGCTGAGGACAAGGACCCCGGGGACAGGTGAAACATGACCTTTCTGCTGCTGGGGCACTGCCTCTCACCTCAGCACACCAACAATTTCTGCACAGGAGGACAGGGAGCTGGGGAAGCACTGGAGAGTTTCAGATCATATAATTGACTTTTTTCCTCTTCCCTCCCCCAGCGTGCTGAAACACCTGTAAAAAGAGCCTTACCTTCTTCTAAAAATAAGCAAAAGAAGCAGTCTCTAACACCCAATTATCTCAGACTGGGAGAAACAGATGTGATTAAGGTTTTAAGGTAGCCTTCAAACGGGCATCTGAAAATATGTCCAAACTGCAAATGACAGCAGACGTGTGGTGGAAGGGAATGTCGATGGCAGTCACTGACTTGAGAAGTGCACAGGATAATAAAAGAGGTGTTAACAGATGGGAGATTTAAAAAAAAGAAAAGAAAAAGAGGGAAGAGCAAGGCCTGTGAAGTAACTGTTGATGGAAGAAGTGGGAAAATGTGCTTGGGTGGATATGTTTGGAGGAGGGGTCTGAGGCCTCCAGATCTTGTGCAGCAGAATTAGCATTTTCCTTCTCTTGGGAACTGAGTGGCTGAAAAACTCTGGTCTGGGGAATATTTTTTCCAGGTGTGTTTCTGTGTTCTAGAGCAAACCCACAACTTCTCTGTGCCATGCTGTCGTTGAGGCAGTCCCGCACCACCTGGCACCAGCCGTGTCTGTCCCACGGACTGAGTGCTGTGCTGGCCTGCCCTGCTGCATGTCATCAAATGTACTCAGTTCTCAAGCCCTGTCTAATTCCATGAGTAGACAGCTAATCCAGATAATCCTTTTGTTTTTTTTAATTCACACCCCTTCCCCCCCCCCCTCCCAAGAAATGACACTGCTGTTTTGGTGCCAGGTTGTGTTTAAAGTCTTCTCCAAATGACTCCCAGGTACTGGGAGGTTGAACAGTCTGAAAGACAAAATGAGTTCCCCTCCTGATGCTTGTTGAGACCTGACTTACTCAACACATTCATGGCTGCTGCCGACAACCAGAACAGCTCAAGTGTCTTTTTATGACACTTGCTTTTCTTGCAAAGGAGATGACATCTGACTCTTCTCTCAGTAACAAAACCCTCATGACAGCTCGAAGGACTTGCTGAAATTGCCAGTGTCCTCTCGCCATGCACCAAAGCAATAGGAGCCAGGTGAGGCTGCGGGGAAGGGAGTTGCTGCTCCCCACCGACACCCATCCCAGTGTGAACAGTGAGCCCCAGAGACAACGGCGAGGACAGCAGCTTCTTTTCTGCAAAAATATTTCACAGTCAGACCATCCAGGATTTGTTTTTTGCATCACCAACCTTCAGATGTACAGGAAAAGTGATGTTTGTAGAGGACTTTGCTGCTTGTGCCAGCAATCAGAGCCGAATTAAGGGACTTGACGCTGAGAGGGGATGAGGACACTGAGTCAACGTGCAATCTAATCCGATATGTCAAAGAGAAAGAGGGGCTTTTGTGCTGGTTAATGGACTGTCCTTTGGAGATGCAGCGCTTGCCTCCGGGAATGACGCACACACCGGCCAGGCTGGAGTGCTCAGAAGGAATTAGGCTGTATAATTTCAGGTTGCCTTTGAGTCAAAGAAAGTTTTTAGAGATTCATTCCTTATTTATTGACATGTTTGCTTTTGCTGCAGAGAAAGAAAAGGAAAAGTCCTGTGAGATGAAAAAAAAATAACAAAACACTTTCCATCTTACTTCTAAAAAGCGCCTCAGGATTTTTTACGAAGTCCCGGTTACAAATTGCCTGCAAAGTTAATTGGAGGACTGGACAAAAAGCATGATTTTTTTTTTCTTTACATGAATTCTTGCCTTTGCTTTGCCTAAGTGCACTCTGTGCCTATGATGTTGAATGTGACCATGTGCAGAATAAAAAATGATTGCTTCTGGAAAGTTCTTTTTCTTTAAAAAAGCAATAGAAAACATCCTCAAATTGCTCAAAATAATTCTTGCCTTCTATGTCCTTGGCTTAAGGCTGGCAGTAGCTCAGAGGTACAAAACAGACGAAGCAACCCTCCTCTTTCACAGAGCCAACCTGAGCACTAAGCATAGTGAGCTTTCACTGTGCCTTCATGCAGCTGTGGCTGGAAACCACTGACATTTGGGGCTCTGTACCTGAGATCCATCCTGAGACAGTGCTGGAATCCCCAGTGCCCTGCAGTACATCTTGTGCCCACTGCGGCTGCAGCTTCCTTCCCACTGCTGTCAGTGCAGCCATTAAGCCCTCTGCATAGAGCCCACCTTTTGGTTTTGGCTCCCGCAGCAGTGGAAGAAGCAATGATCCGTGCTGAGAACAAACAGGAGCTAACAGGCTTCAACACGCTTTGCTGCACGGGAGTTACAGCAGCACGGCAGCTGTTATCATTCATTTAGGGGCACGGAGGCTGGCTCGTTGGAAATAAGCTACAAAGGTGAAATCTGCTCCATTATTTTCAATAAGAGATGCGCAGAGCATAAAGAGGTCAGTGTCTTCAGTATGGACAGCAAAAAAGCACTGGTTTAACTGCTGTGCATTGCCCCACTTTATTTACTGCAGCCTGAGTGTGGTTCGTGCAGCACGTGTCCCCAGTGCCAGCATCCCCAGCACAACCAGTGTCCCCACCTGCAGCATAGGTGGCCCTATGGCTCGGCTAGGGCAGTAAATGAGCTTTGTTCCTGGGACTCCTCTCCTGGCTCAGCACAAGGCTTGTGCAATTTATGGCAAAGAGCTTCCACACCAATAAAACAGGGTAATTACGTGTGCTGTCTCCTTCCTGCTGCCTGATGAGGGGTTTCAGGCTCAGGATCCTTTCTGTAGCTGTATCCTGTCCCCATTATTGCACAGCCTGGTCCCGGTAAAGCTCTTTTGGGGCTGTTTTGGTGCCAATAAATCCTATCACACGCAGGTTTGCTTTAGGCTCGGTGGCACTGTTATATCCCAGGCACATTCCTGAATGACAGCCAAGGTTTCCTGGCCGGTAAAGGAAAATATATAGCAGCCAGTTTTATGACTTCCTGAGCTTGCGACAGAGGATGCGAGGTGGAAAGGCCTTCTTGGGGCATGCTCCATTTCATGTGAATGAATTGCATCTTGAAATTAAAAAAAAAAAAAAAATGGATAAAAAATGAGCATAGAGGTGTTTTCTGGCACGAGGGACTTTCTCATCTACTGCAAACCACTGACCACGCTGACAGCTGGAGTTCAGCAGCCAGACCCTGCTAATGGCCCAGTTCTGCCTGAAGTCCACGTGGCATCGTGGTGGAAAAATGCATTTGTAGCAAGAGAAGACACTGGGGAAGGGCAAGGTCTGGAGGGAAGCTGCCTGGCTTCCCCCACTCCCTCACAGCGTGCCCATGTCCTCTGTTCCTCCACCTCCAGGCTGAGCTTCAGAGCTGCAGGGCCTGGCCAGGCTGCACCATGCCAGCTGAAGTGGTGATGCTTTGGTTTGCCTTGCCAAGATCGTCCTGGGGGACAAATTCTGCATGTTCCCCGTCATCTGCATGCTGATGGCTGATTCACCTCCCTTCAATCTGAGTGAGGTGCAAGAGCCCTGTAATCCTTTTTGTTCTGCGCATTAGTGCAAAGCCTCATGAATCTCTATTAAATCAGGGTGAGAACATGGAGATAGTTTGCAGCTGCCTTGTTGATTTTGTATTTCCTCTCATTGCTCTGCCTTGCCATGAAGCTGAGAGGTAAATGGCTGATAAGGCATTTGCTGTGAGCAGGAACCTCGAGATGGTGACAAAAACAAGTTTGGGTTATTGGCTTTGCTTGCTGTCACATAAATACGTGATAGAAACCTTCTGGGACACCTGGTTAGAGGCAGTGACAGGCCGAGCTCCTGCATGCAGCCCTGCCTGGAGAAGCAGGAGTGAAAGAACCAGGGCAGCACTGCATGTGGGAACTTGGATCAGGACAGAGAGCCTCACCAGCACGAGGAGATCCCAGGGCTGTGGGACTGTCCTGTGCTCCAGCACCCCACGCCCAGCACCATGGCAGTGGGTTGGGGCAGCAGGAGCAACCAGCACACAGGACAAGCAATGGGCTCTCCTGTTTTCACTTTCATGTAGACAGCTGATACTATTGTTTTGATCTTCTTATTAATGATAGAAATACAGTGTCAGACCTGTCATTTTCATGTTCACTCGAACCCCAAGTTAATTATAATTCAATTAATTAATGCTGCAGCTTGATGGAATGGGTCTTATCTGCTGTGACTATGGACTTCGTTGCTGTGATTAGCAATGCCTTAAAGAGAAATCAAGTTTTCAGATGTGCTGGGCATTGCTGATGCTGTTTCCAGTTAGAAAGTGTTGCTCTGTGCAGGGGTCACAAAGGCACTGCAGCTGCTGCTGCTGTGATGCACCTAGGAAAAAGCAAATCTTTCTCTCATTAATGAAAATGCATCCATTTTCATTAAAATAGCTATGTCCCAATTTGTTAAAATATTTTTATAATGATTTTTATCTTAATGGGAATTTTTCCATAGACCAGTAACACACATTTTTAGAGAGGAGGTGTTGGTACTAATGCTCTGAACAGCCATTATAGCCAAAATGAAGCTCGGCTCATCACTCCCAGAAATGAGGGCACTTTGGCTTTCTGAGCTGAAAAAACATTGGCAGCAGAGTAATGATCACTCCGTGTGTGGAGCAGTCTCGCTCTATTCTGCACTGATGATGATTCTGTGCAAAAACGTCATCTGCTGGGGACTCCTGAATGTTGCTGTTCCTTGCAGTGTTCCATTATTTCTGCCGAATGTCACTGTTGTCTCTGGAGCAGAGGTGCCTCTGCAGTTCCTGTTGCTGCCAAGGGCACCCAAACCAAAACGTTCTGTGATTGTTCCAGTAATTAAACCTTCATTAATCTTCACCTTTACCATCCTCAGACCCTAAGATTTGCAGTACAATTCTAATTAGCTTTTAGGTTAAATTGTATGGCTAATAAACAACTGTCTTTGCTGAGTTTGGGCTGCATGGAATCACACAGAAGCACACGTTTTTCTTCTCTCCCTCCCCACCTCCCAGGCTTTCTGCAGGATCCCCGCAGGATGAATTGTGCTGCACTTAAATATCATCCAAACAGTTCAGCAGGAGGCTGTGCTCTGCCCTGCACATCTGGCACTGTGTGAATGAGGAGCACATGTTTTCAGTTCTGACAGAACCTGATGGATTGGTGTGATTTGGTACTTTCTTTCTTTTTTTCTTTTTTTTTTCTGCTGCAGATGAAATTCACAGTTAGAATTGGAATTTTCTGTGTTCAAAATCATCCCAACACACAAACCTAGCTCAGCGTGGAAAGAAAGTTCCATTTGCCCTCTCTCCTATAGTCAAACAGGTGCCATGACTGCTTGCTGCATGCTGCAGCTCCTCCTCTTCACTTTCTGGTGCTGCTTCAGGGCAAAAGTGGATGTTGCCCCAAAGACCCCCGTACACACATTCCAGGTGTGTGCATTACACCTGGAGGAGTAACGAGGATATCACACACATCGATTTCCCCCTTCACCCCTTCAAGGACTCTTCTCCTCCTGTTGTTTTGATTGATTGGAAGAAAAGCTTTTGGGTTGCTCTGAGCATATTTCATGTCGAGGGGCATTTCCAGTTAAACCAACAAATGCTTTTAAAGCCAGAGGAATGCAAAAGAATCATTATGGGTTGCTCTTTACCAGGAGCACTTTTAAAGCAGCATGCAGCATGGGACGAGTGGCAAAGATGTCCCCATTCCACATGGAGCTGGAGGAGATTCCCCCATGTGTCACCCCCAGGGATGTGGCATCTTTCTGTACTGGAGCACTTGAGCAGTGCTTTTAGGCAGAGGTAATACGCTCGAGGAGATGTGTGGTTTCAAAGCATGTCTAATGCTGAGACAGCCCAGGCAGGTTTATTGCAGGCCATTGTTCTGGCACTGGGTTTGATCAGAGATTTTCTACCCCTCTGTGATAAGAGGAAACTCCTCTTGGAAAGGGAGAGCTTCAAGGAGCTTTTCCAGGGGAACTGTAAGATCATTTCCAGCCCTCTGCAGGCAGCAGCACCCTGGCAGGGAGCTGTGGGCACCCACAGCAGGCTGAGATCTGAATGCAGGGCTGCTCCTCCTTTCATCTGCATATGAGACCGTGGTGCTACCGCCTGACCTTCAAATGCTGCTTATGCAAATTAGCATTTGCATAGCTAATTGCTATTTATTATTGCCATCCTGACCAAAATAAGTCATGGCTTACTGAAAAGAAATGGTGTCCCCCAGACCTTGAACTTACACAAAGTCTGGCTTAAAAGAAAAGGATGTTACATTCAAAAAGAGTCTCTGAGTATCTGTTGCCTTGACTTGCTGTTCTCAGCATGGCTATGAAACATTCTCCCAGTGAGCTGACAGCCGTGTGTTCAGCAGTGCTGTGCGAGCTGCTCTTGCTGACTCTGGCTCTGGATCTCCCATGGTTTCCCATGTGTCTCCTTGCTGTGTGTGCAGCTGTCAGTGCCACAAGGCCACTGCTTCCCTTCTCTTCTCAGTCCTGAGTCTTTATGCCATGGCCACATCCTCTGAGATACAGGTGGATGCCACACGTCCCTGACAGTCACTTTGCTTCCATTTTAAACTCCTAATTCTGCCTTTGACAAGCTTGGTCCTCACCCCTTCTCCTTTGCTCCCATTGTGTTGGCATTAACCACCTCCCAGGTCCTGTCCCTTTTGGTTTTAACATGCTCAGATTAACAATGACTATGTTCAGTGAGTAGGAAAAAATATATATATTCCACTTGACTTTGCTAGTGCTGTTCAGGTCAATGGGAAGAAATTTTTCCAGTGATAAAGGGAAAGGCCATTTAAAAATAAAGCTGTGACAGTGCGTGCCGTTAGCACACAAACTGAAAGGATGAGTTCTTAGGGAGGGTCAGCTCCCCTCCCAAATACTTTGCA